CTTCCAAAAGAATGTAGAGATCCAATTTAAAGACTGATGACTTGACATCATCAGTTCTCAAAATAATGATAATCATCTTTTATTTTGATGAAATTGTTTTCACCTTTGTGTCTTGCACTCAGGAATCCACACATATCCAGCTTTTGGCATATCATAAGTATTGATTTATCTTCATGAATTCAATGTTTTAATCTTTCAGACTACCCAGATGCACATCTAGGATCTTTTCTTCATTGGCTTGCGTGTAACTTCAGAGATGCCAGCAATCTTTCTATGAGGTTGTTAATTTTTATTATCTTTGAACAAATAAGAATTCCACAAGAAGAAATAAATTCCATAAGAAAATACTTTAGGGAATTGCTCTTAGTATGCAACATTTTCTATTTCAGAATATTTAGACCTGAGGCCATCATTCTCACCATCTACCACTGCATTTTGATTCTTTTCACATTTAATATTCACACAGTAAAAATTTCCACAAAAAAAAGCTTCTGTGGCCACTATCTTTCTAGTGATGATGTCATGGATGACCATCACTGTGGATTTTGCATTGATATATCTGAATACAAATTATTTATGCTCATGATTCAAGAGGTTTTTTTATCCCTACTTGACATTCTACCTCATATGCTACTGGTCCCCCATCCCACATCTTCCCCGACTTTCCAGAAACTTCTCCTTTCTCAGATTTACTGCCTTGCTCTTTGGAGAACTTTTTTGTCATGCACAAACTGCAGTGCTTCTGATGGCAGTGTCTCACTCTGTGTCATTTTTACTCTTGCTTGAGTTTTCCATAATCTCCAAAAGTGGAATCTAATTGTGGATTCTGGCATTTCTCCAGATGATGCTCTCTCAGTTTATGGCCTGAGAGGACACTGTCAGCATTGGGAACTTCCGAAGTTTATAGCAGAACTTCCAGTGTGAATTATATTTGTGCTGTGGGTTTTAGAAAGATGTCTTCTCTCTTTTCACACTTGTATTCTTTTGACACAAATCTACTAAAATTCACAAATCTACCTGTGTATTGTTTAAACTTTAGATAAAATTATCAGTATCATATAAAAAGCAATACTAGCAGTAGGTTTTGAGCAAAACTGGAATCTTGGCTTCAGAGACCCTCTAAGCCATACAAATAAAACCTGTTAAAATGACACAAGAAGCCTCAAGTTTATTTACAAACTACAAGTGACAACATGTGCCATTTGCCACATCAGATGACAGTAGCTGCAACATCAGGTCAAGGACAAAAATCCTAAGGTACGTTCATAGATCTGATGAAAACAAGGATGCTTCTCTCATTAGAAAAATCATAAATGAGACGAAGAAGTCACGTAAAGGCAAATCAGAGTTACCTGACCTCTACAGATGAGACTCTGCATTTGGTTGCCTCTACACGAGGCAATTAGAAAACTCCATGACATTTAAATCATATTTAGCATCTTCCTTTGGTTGTAACTGCCTTTTACAGACTCTTCTCTAAAATAAATATTTTTTTCAGATTATAAAAAGTTATAAATAGCTAAATGGCTTTGAAAGAAAAAGGAAGAAATTAATCTCACCAAAACTGTGCAACAAAGAGAATAACTAAACTCTTGTTTTAAGAGAGAGGACTATTGCCACAGAGAGCAATGAGAAAGGAGAACAAAGAAATGTTACTTCCTGGAGTTCAAATCTAACTTTCCTCCTTATCCATGGGGAAGTGATAAATGGAAGAAAATGTGGAACAGCTGGAAAGGATACAAGTATCAGGAGATGCAACAAAGCAAAACATTCCCCTGGATGAACTGATTTCCCTTTGATCTAACAAAGATTTGAAATTTGTCAGTTTTAAACAGAACAGAAAATGAGGATATGCAATAGACATCTGTAATGGATAGGAGCAAGATGAAAGGTCTGAGATGATTCATGACTGGTATGAAGTGCTCCAGGGTGTTTTGGTTTTTTTTCCTGATCTTGTACATCTCTCTCACAACTACGTAATTACTTAGCTTCCTATACCATTAAAATTTCATAACGAAAGCTGAGCTGCTTTTGAAAAAATAAGCAGTAAGTAAAGATTGCTATTTTATTATAGACAGTTATTTTGGTAAGAATGCCAATATAAACTGGAATATGTCATTGCTGAGAGAACATCAATAACCTGAGTGAAAAAGTTCATGATCTAGCCAGTAGTTATTAAATTGTATATACAAACTTAATTACATGTATAGTTGCTGTATTACCACTTGTCTTTTAAAAGCCCCAGATTAAATATTGTTCCCTCAATGCCTGCACATCCTGATCTCTACAACAGGCAGCAGTAGGCATAAATCGCCCTTGTGGTCACTCAAATCACAAAAACAAGATTGTATTATTACCAACAACCACAATCATATAAATAAATGCTATTAGTCCCTCTACAAGGCAAGAAAACAATGACAGGAACCTTCCTAGGGTATTTTCCTAAAGGTCTGTATTTTTATTTGTTTGCTGCAGCCCCTATTACCCATAAAATTTGCATTAGCATCACCTGCTATTTCCAGGCAGGCACGTTTCAGTACCTGTCTCCCCACAAGCCATCTCCCCAGATCTGTTTGCCTCCTTTCATACCTCCTCTCTCTCCAGAGCCAGTTATAGCTCCAGTGGTCTTCTGGTCTTCTATTCACATTTCTGCTCTAACGCGTGGAGAAGGTGCTGCAACAAGTCTGATCTTTATTTACAAACTGCAAGTGACAACATGTGTTAACTTAGCTGGTTGCACCCAGCAGAAAGGGGCATTCCAAAACCCACCTTCTGGAACAACAAACCAAACTGCACCTGCTCAGCTCCCCTGAGCAAAGCAGATACAGATTGCTACCCTGACTCAATCAATTACCAGTGCTGTAGCTGCCAGAACACCCCCAAATTAACACAAAAAGGGCAGGGAAGCAGAAGATGACTATATTTTAAGTCAATATCCTTCACTAAGAAGGAAAAACCTGAAAACTTCTGGAACCTTGACCTGTGGAAACTGTGATAATCAGCTCAGCTCACCTGGCCAGATAATAATTCAGGTACACACTGGCACTATAACCAAAGCAAAAACGCAAAAGACCAAAGCAGAGTGGCATGACCAAAAGCTATATTGCCGTTCCATTTCTCTGTGTCCAAACTTAACAATTAATTGCATAATTTCTGCATTTTAGTAGAAGTTCAGTTTGATCTGAAAACCTATCAGATAATCCTGGCACGCCTTAGCTGAGCTAAGGAAGATTTAATGAGCACTGGCAGGGCCGCACTCCTCCTCTGAGCTAGAAGAGGACTTTTCACAGCTGCAGTGCAAAGCATTCTGGCACAAGGCTGGGGCTCTTCCCTTCCTCCTCTTCCCAGAGCCTGTCACTCCAGGTTTAGGCCTGGTTTAGAAAGGCTGATCTACAGTGACAATCATTCACAGTGAAATGCCAGGAAAGCCCAGTGTTTTGTCTCCTACAATTGCCATTTGCAGATTCCTTGGGAAGAACAACAACAGAGCAAATTCACATGGTATTTCCCCTAATATTCTCCCAACATCTGACTATTCTTAGCTCAAGGAACTTTTAACTCCTGTGGTAGTTTGCTTTGTGTCTCAGTGGATCTCTCATTCACATACTTTCCCAATCTTTGAATTCCTGTGAACTCCTTGTATCACAGCATCCTCTGGCAAAGAGGCTTTGGCTAGAGACTTCCTTGAAGAACCTCCTCCTTTTGTTTGTTTTTCTGCCCCTCTAGTTTTCCCTTTATTTTAATTTTATAGTTCCTAGTTTTTCTGCAGGAAGAGACAAGAGATAATCCCTATCCACCTTTCAACACTACTTCTGTTCTGGTGGTTCTCTAGCAAGTCCTTTAACCTGTTTCTTTTCCAGGGTGAAGGGTTCCAGACTTCACACTAATTCCTCATATAGATGTTGATTTGTGCCTTCTGCTGCACTTCTGTGAATCTTCTCTACATCTCTCCTTTTTCTGTGACCAGCACTGCACAGTGAACTGCAGTGAACTGGAATTTTATACAGTGATCTTTTGCTTTGCTGTCAGCTCTTGTCCCAATCATTACCAATATTTTAGTTTCCTCTTTCGACTGCTGCTGAGCACCAACCTGATGTTTTCAGAGCACTATCTATCATTCTGTCAAAAGGTTTCCCCTGAGTAACAGAGAGAGCTGCAGAGAACAATATTGCAAATGTGAAATTAGGATTGTTTAATCCCCACGTGTCACTTCACATTTACCTACGCTGTGTTTCACCTGCCGTTTCGTTGCCAAGTTTCATGATGACTTTCTGAGATTCTTGACAACTGCCCATTGCCTTTACTATTTTGAATAATTCAACACTGATAAACTTTGTAGCTCAATGTTCAAACTTCTTCTACACCCATGAATATGGTGTAGAGGTGAGGCTCCGGCACAGACCCCTGCAAAACTCCAATGGTAACCTGGGTCCATTATGACAATCCATGCCAGAATTTTCTCATTTTGTAGCTGGAATGTTTATCAGGCAAGGTAAGCTACTTTACCACCTTTTTCTGTTTGTTTTATTTGTTCCCAAAATACTTTTTTTAAAAAAAGAAACCAGAGAATAAACACTGGCCATCATAGCATTTGTTGTTAAAGATGACAGGACAGAGGGAAATCCCTTGTGGTGATGTTAAGGTTTTCAGTTTATCAATGACAAAATCAGAAGTACACAAATCCCAAAAGTAATTTCCTTAAAAAGGAAAGCAAGCAGGGTAGAAATACCACAAGAACCAGCTGATATCCAGGCAGACAGGAACATTACCACCAGAAAATCTTTGCCATCCATCCTCTCACGTGAATGACACAAGGTGTGATGGGGCTGGTACACACTCCACATTCAGTGGAATTTCTGTGTATGGTTCCTGAAAAGAGAAAGTGCAATGACATCTGGCTGGTTATTATTCAGGTTGTTCCAGCACAGATTTATCATCTGCTTTAAAAGAATTTAAGGTGCTTGACAAGATGCAGAATGCAACAGAAACAAATCAGCAACTTTCTAGTCTGCAAAATTTTATTAAGCAACAGCTGGACAACTCTTACAACTCCAAATCATCAAGGAAAAATAGGGCAATCAGTCCATCTCTCAGTCATGTAGACAGTAAAGAATCTGGACAAACCACACTTTTATAGGGAAACCAACAATACTTTCTAGGCACCTCCTGCAAAATCTATTACACAAGATACATAAAAGGAGAGGCAGATCAGGGTAGTTTTTAAGTACAGTGGAAACCAAGTATACCACGGTATATTCAGGAGAAAAAAAAAAAGGGAGATTGAAGAAAAATATAATTAAAAATAGTCTAGGAAAGTAAAGTTCACAAATGGTGTACCAAATTTTCAAAAGCCTTAAGAAAAACATGCTGGGCTTGCTCACTTAAGAATGCATGCACCTGCATGACTCTATGCTCATTAAATTTAAAAGGAAAATTAAATACCAAACCAAAATTTAAAAAAAAAGCAAAAAAATCCCAAATCACTTTCAAAGTTATAGTACCAAAAGAATGCATTTATAAACAAATGCAACTCCCCTTCTTTTTCAGGAAACACTACAGTGCCTTTTCAACCGAATGCATCCCCATGCTATTCCACAACACCATATATTTTATCTACAATAAACAACGAGATCTTGAACAGACATAGCCTTCCCCAAACACACAACACACAAACAGAAAAAAAAGCAGCAAATGCTGAAATAATGAAACAGAAATGCAAAGCAACCAAAGGAAAATCAAGTCTCAAGCAAACTAAAGAAACAAAGGGCAAGTTAGAAACGTTCTGAACAAATAGCTTCAAACAACATAGGTAAGAATTACTGGCCGAGCATTATTCCTGTGAAATACTTGAAACTCAGGTGTCTACACACTGTTCCAAAATGTTTCTCTCTCATTATTACTTTATCTGTATCTTAAGCCATCTACTTGGCCAGTCAGATAAAATTCCAAATAAAACAGACAACCTTTGTCAGGATTTAGAATTGCTGATCAGTCCATATTTTAAAACTGTAAACCAGAGGATTAAGAACAGACTGACAGGCTTTGACATGACCCCATCTACATTTTCATTGGACACTCTGGATAGGTACGTATGGATAGGTAAGTATTTGGTGTTTTCATTTATTTGTCTCACAAAAGCATGTCTTCTTGATCCTGCAGTCAGCTCTGTGTCAGCAAACCAGTGCACTTTCATAGTACTCCCAAACAATCGATTTGCCTTGAAACACAAATTTCTCATTACCAGTTCATTTGCAAAATCAAAAGTTAAAGGGTGAAGCTTTTAGTTTTCTTAGCAAGAACTGTGTCACTGAATCTTATTTAATTCTTTTGTTTCATTAATTGCTTTTGCCTTAAAAATTTTCTAGATGCAGCAACAATCAAACCGCCCAAAGAAACTCCTGATATATCTTCAGTAATATCAGGCAACAGGGAAAGCAGTCTTTTCATCTTAAAAACATCTCTGTGGGACTTCTTAAGAAGAAAATTAAATAAATACAAAGACAAAATAATTCACATAGACCATTGTTCACAAGTAGTAATTAATTTTATTCCTTTGAGAATGGTGCATGTAAGTTCCAATGCTGTAAAGAGGACTTATGGTGCCTCCCTGCAGACTACTCCTGAGGGCAGCAAGACTCTAAATTGGTATTTACTAATGAAGGTTTGTGCCTTGAAGGGGAAGAGACATGAACACAAAAACCAATTTGTCTACTAGAATTCTTCCATTTTTGTAAGCAGTAGAGGTGACTTGCTCTCTTACACTGGAAAAATCAATCTCTAAATAACATAAACAGCTTGCCCTCCTGTCCTGTGATGGAATCCTAGAAATGGGAATAAAAGTCAAAAATCTGAATGACTACTCTGTGGCCAGGATTTTACTTCGAGCATTCTTCAAGGGGGGTTATACTGAGCTGTCAGTATAACCATTGGATAATGCTCTATAATTTCCTTGAGTGGATATGTATGGGTCATACAAGTCATCTTTACCTTACAATCACACAGTAATGGGGAAGTACCTTTTGGGTTGGATTCTGGTCTCTTATGTATCTTGGTGTAACTGGAAGTGAGGCTGGAAGCTGGCCCTCTGTCAGCATGCCACACAAGGGTCTCATCTCTTACCAATCTCTAAGTCTGATTTACTGGTCTGGAGTATTGTGGGCCCTGCAGACATGCAGTTCCTAACTGCTGCTCTGGGAAACATTCTTAAAAGTTAATGAAAATTTACTGTGTCTTCTCTCCCCTTTCATTTCATCAAATCAGTTTTTGCACTTTCTGCTCTTTTTATATGAGGATGTAAAATGTTTCTGAGAGGTAAGAGGGCACCAAGGTAACATAGGATCACACACATCAGGCTGCAAAAAGCAAATGCACAGAAATTGTCTGAAGCAACAGTCAGACAAGCTCCAAAATCTGTTTGTAATTTCTGAGAGGACACTAAAAAGACATTTCAAGGAAAGCTTGGATCTATGGAAAGTTTAGGCTGAAGGATTCATCAAAGTTAGGTATCCTTGTCTGACAGCTGTAGACCTTCATGCATCTTCATAAAAACACTGTTTTACCTGTGGCTGCATCACAGGAAACTTTTGTAACTGAGATGAACCTGTGTGCAGATTTACTGATATTCAGGCAGCCCATGGCACATGTTACTGTGGTCTTTGGAACTGAGTGCAAAATTGCTAATGTGATAATTCCTTTTTTTTCCCCTCTGTTACCTCCCATCTTCTCATAGTTTCAGGATGTTGCAGAAACATGTATTCTTACTGCTTAAAGCTAAAATTTGCCACTCCAATTATGCCAGACTTTAAATATCAATTTTTAGATTCTGTTCGAGATGATAATATTCCCAGGCTATCACCATTATTTTTTCAATATTATCAGGTTTTTGGCTTCATCCCTTTGCAACTCCAGCAGAGCAGATTCTGCCTTCAGATGGACACCGTGGCTGCTGGCTGGCATCAGGGTTCTCTCTGCCCAAAGCTGCTGCAGCCAGACTCCATGGCAGCTTCATGCTGCTCTTGGAGCACACCTAGAGGATGAGTGGAGGAACACCTGCTCCAACAGGTCTCCTGTGGAGCATCTTGAACAGGCAAAGCTGCTGCAGGCAACGTCAGGGCACAGCTCCATGAGCTCCATGCAGCCCTGCCAGAAGCACTGTGGCAGTGCTGGAAGCAGCTGAGCCCAGCTGCAGAAGGAGCAGGCTGAGCAGAGGAAAATGCTTCAGAGGAAACTGCTACACTATTCCTTGTGCCTCAGCTGATTCCAAGCTAGTCTGCCTGTAGCTCCACCTGGCACTGAACTGTACCACCACCAAACCCTACTGAACTACAGTGGCCTCCTTACAAACAGCCTGTGTCGTTACACCCTCTCTTATCACCCAACCCACCTTATCTTGTACCTCAAGAAAAGCAAACCATGCCTTCTATTTTTTAAGCCACTCCCAAGCAGAGTATAGTTACAAATAAAAAAGGAAAACAGAGGACAGATTTCTGCAGGTCCTAAAGAACTCACCTAGACTCTTTGTAGTCTACATAATTCTACATAGCAAACTCATTGTGTTTAGCTGCCAAAAACCACTTTTGCCTGCAATATGAAGTTTTTGCATATTATCCAGCAAAACGAGGTCTTCCTAGAAGCCTTTTTAATTTCTTGCAGCAAAATATAACTGCTAGCAAACAATTGCTTACAAAGATACTCTTTAAATATAAATAAATGTGTATAACTCACTGATACACAGTAAAAAAAAAATCCCTAAATCACTCATTACATTATGCAAGAAAAATAATTTGGTTTTTGGACATTAACAGGAAATCTGCATTAAATTATCTTCAAAAAAAACACTCAAAACTCCCTACAGAAAAATCAAACCCAAACTAAAACAAAACAAAAAACCCAACCCAAGAGAAACAAAAAAAATTCCCTAGACTGTTAAAATTATTGCACAACTGAAAAAAACAAGCTTTGGAAAAAACATCCTTTACATCATTTGAGTGGAAATTACTGCATGTATAAAAGAACTAGATATTTCTGAACACTTTGATACATTCTTCCTAGAAGTACTTAAGTTACCTACAGAAAACCTGGGTTTTACTAACAAAATAGAAAATGTAGTATCTATTGGCTGAAGGCAATAGCAGTCTTCACAATTTAAGTGATTAAGTGGGGATATTCTTCCATGTTTCCTATATTGTATCTCAATTGAAAATAAAATTACTTTCACTTGTTCTTTTTATAATTTAGGATCCAGTTGCACACTCAGATTTCTATGTATTTACCATTCCTTTCATTAAAATTCTATTTGAGAGTATTTTCTCTCTCTAATATTGGGGATTCTCTACATATTAAAATCCTTAATTAAAGAGACTTGGCTAAATTACTTTCAAAAAGATAAAAGACTGTCTTATCTTATAGAGTTTTCTGTCAAGTAAATGGAAAGGATGTTGGAAATGGCATTTATTTTCCCAATTTTTTGGCAATTATTCATTGTTCTTTGCTGAGGCAGAAACCAGAGCTCTTTCTATGCCATGGCTCTTTCTGAGTGCCGTCAGAAGGATGCAATTACGACCTGGACCAATGAAACCAAATTACTAACTCTGTTACTTGTTTTATTGTTCTCCATTAGAATAAAACTACTGAAAACTGGAAAAAATTGGCAATAAACAAAGTGAAGAGGAACACTATTCTCTGGAAGGTAAAAGAAACTGCAAGCAGAAGTCCTTAATTAGATTAGATTTTCTCCAGAAAAGAACATTCACGTTGTTTCCATGTCCTAATAATTTTGGCTGGTGGTGTTCTTCCAGCTGAGTATTTCTGACATATGACTAAGTGGCCCTTCCCTCAGCAAGCAAACAAACCAGCCCTGGTATGTTTCTTGTCTTGCAGTGTTCACCGTGTGCCTGTCAAACACTAATTAGGGTACAGCTGGTTAGCACAGACCTTAGGGCAGGTGAGGGCTCTCATCAGCCAATTTCCCTCCTTGTGTACTGGAATCAGTGGACTAAGAATTCAAGCTACTGTTTTTAGAGTATGTAACTCAATACAGACAAAGGGCTTAATAGTGTTTCCTCAATAAAAACCAACAAGTGAAACATTTCCATTGATTTTCAAGGGACCAGAACCAAATCTATTTCAGTTCCTCTGCTCCACACACATTATACATACAGGCACTCAAACAGCTGAATAAATCAAACACATGAAAAGGAACACAAGTGGGCCCAGACAATTAAAGAAAACAAAATTAATTAATTAAAGGAAACAACAATCTGATAGATGCCAAGGGTAATGTTGAGCCTGACCATTCCCACACACAAGTAGAAGCTGCTAAGCTTTGGGATAATCAGGCATGGTACCATCTACTGCCCCACTCCTTCCTTCCTACTTCTCCTTCCTCCCTCCAATGACACCATCTCACAGGTGGTTTTTACTGGACCTACCCTGTGGGGCACTATCTGATCTAACTCACCACCTCCCCTGGCAACTCTCTGAAACTCCTTTACTGGCATTGCTCCTCTCCACTGGACAGCTCTGGAAAACTCAGCAGAGCACGAGTTAGCAGCTCACTGCATATTGGCAATTTCTACTACAGCAGGGTCTGATGTGAAATGTTCCTCTAGAATGAATCAAACACAGCACACATCAGCCCTACTATTAAGACTCAAGAAAAACAAAGAGAGAAAATCACACATATTCGTCTTAAGTTATATGGGCTTTCTCAAGTAAAGAAGCTAAATCGTGTATGAAAGACAAAGCAGCTGTTGACATCTCAACCAGCATATCTTTCCCAGTTATCTTTTAACTTCAAAAGATCAATTTTTACAAAAATATGCTGGGATGTTTTGTTATCTAATGTCCAAATAATTATATTAATAGTTTGGGGGTTTGTACATTACTGGTGAAACTATTTCCACATCGAAACACATTCTGTAGCAAAATGCTGACAAGGAGAAAAGAGAAAAAGCAAGTAAACGTGCACAACACAAGGACAACAAAGAAACTCTTCTGTGCAAGCAACCTTCTGAAATGCTCAACATGTCCACATGTGCACCAGAGAGAACTGCACAGTCATACTACTGGTATTAAGCTTTCCTCCGTCACACTCCATGTAGACACTGGCTTCCTGCTCTTAGCTGAAGCAAGTGGCAAGTGGGTGACAAAAAAACATGATTCTGTCCAATTTTTCCTTTCTCTTTCAACTCATTTGTTCTCCAGCCAGCCATGATGTTGTTTCCTCCAATGAATTTGCTTCCCTGATGAAATTTCTTCTTGTAATGACTTGCTACACTTCTGTCTCCTTCCTAATTCAAGCAGTGTTGTAGAACTTGATTGATACTGATTGCTAAGAGGACTGAATACACTGGGTCTTCTCATCTGCTGGAAAAGCTTTGTTTACATGGTGTAAACACACTGAAATGAGGAGCAAGCACAGGCACGGCCTCAGAGGTACATCTGATCACATGTACCTCTCCCAGCTACCAGCCAAATTATAGAATACTGCTGAACAATGTGAACAAAAAAGCAACACTCATGATTACTTCCTCTCCAGTTTTTTTTACCTACAGAAAGATGTTTATGCCAGTAACAAAAGAAGCATTGCTTGTAACTGCTCCTCTGTCTTCTGTCACCTACTGCAAGATGTTTATCCCCCTTAACAGTATACAAAACAAGCAGACATCAACTTCTTTGATATGGTGGGTTCTTAAACCCTGGTTCTAGCCAGGACAGAGTTAATTTTTGCAGTAGCCAGGAGAGGGAATGGCTACAACCCAGAGGTTATTCTACACAACCTCCCATCATTTTCTGGGGCCATGGGAAGGGGTCCCATAGTGTGGCAGCACAGTCAGGTATTGGCAGAGACTCCCCTGTGGTGAGCACACGCGTGTGAATCCTTCACCTCTCATGCACTCTGTTATTAACATTGCTGCTGTTACTGTTTGGTTTCTTATTTCACTGCTGTTTGCAGTAAATTGCTCTTCTCTCTACCTGTGATCTTTACCTTTTGTGCCTCCAATTCTCCTCTCCATCCAACTCAGGGAAGGGAAAAGGGGAGGGGGCAGTGAGTGAGTAGTGCATGGCTTGGAGTATTTTGGTGAAAATACTAAATTGGGGAAAACCATTCCTAAACCATGAGAAACACCCACCAGAAACAATTTTTTCTCTTCTGAGTAATACATCACTATTTATAAATTAAATGTTTACCTACATAAGCCTCCTTGGAAACTGTGGCACTCAGTTAAAAGCAGGTATCAGAGAAGAAACACGTATCTTCAAGTATCATAGCTTCTTTTCTTTTTTTACTTTTTTGCTGCTATCACTGATTTTTTAGTAGTAGAAGTACAAACTGGACCAGAAAAAGTCATGTTCCCTGTTTTAAAAAGAATAGCATGAGATAAGGCAGTCTATCAAAAAGAGCAGTCTGTTTTAATCCCCCCATGAGCTTACATCAGGTACTGTAGCACACACAGCAGAACCACCACAACAAGCCAAAAGCCACACTTCTCCACGTAACACTGAATGGTTCTCAACCCTTCGCTCTTTCTGAGACCCAGCACAACGCTTGAAAAGAAAAAGAAACCAGAAAACAAACAAGCTAACAAACAAACAAACAAACAGAAAACAGCCCCTCACCCTCCACCCCGTGACTGATTAGAGTTAATGCCCTTCTGGTGGGCACCAAGAGACTTTTCCAGTTTTACTGCCTTCTTAACTCCCAGGCATCTCTGCACACCTAAAGCAGGCTGCCCTGACATTTTCCGTTTGGACTTTATAAGAAGGTTAACATTTTCCTCTCTCCAGTCTCTGCTTTTTCATTTGAGGCGTTGAGTCACATTAGCCAGAGCAACAGCAAAGGCTTGCACTGCAGAAAATGGATACTGAAAGTCCAAAATGTAAGCATTGCCATCAATTCTTCCAAACTGCATCACCTGGGAAGCAGGGGAAGAGGAAAAGGAAGGGAGAAGAGAACAAGGTCAAAAAAAATGAACCACAGAAAAGGAGACAGAGAAGAGAATAAGAGCAAAATTTTTCTGCTTTGTAGGAACACCCCCCTTCTCAGCTAATATGACTGGAGCTACAGAATGGGGTATGATGCCAAAAAATAGTGAGAGCGCTGCACTTTTTGTCTGCATAGAGTATTTGACTGCAATATTTCACTCCACTCCAGAGTAAACTGATAAAATATGCTAAACTGCATACAGCATTGGTTTAAGTAGCTTGTCACCAATTACTTCAGCAGATATGGGTACACCAGCATCATGCTTCCTGCAGGAAAGCATCAGTCTCCCCCTTGGAAATATCCTACCATCAACGCATCAGGAAAACAGGTTTTGTTTTCAAAGAAAAGAGACTTCAGGGAAGGGGAACAACCAATTTCCCTACTCTAGCACTTCATAGCTGATAAGGTGTTCTTTCTTTGCAGCTCTGTTTCCTTCTGCATAAATATCTTAACTAGCACATAATTACAGAAAGAATGAATTAGCAAAGGGGCAATGAGAGCTGTTTGAAATGCAAAAAAAGCAAAACTAGTCAGGTTGTTCATTGCTCTTCCACAGGGAATATCTGAAGTTTGGCCTGTTATTACTGTTTTTTCATTCACTTCATCGGAAATCCAGATTTTATTTGCTCTACAGTGAAGATCCTTGAGCTAGACTCAAGTCAAGGCAGGCTTTGCTACCCCCAGCAAGAAAAAAACCATTGGTTGGGTGGTTTTGCAGAGATGCCCATGGAGCCATATCCACAGCCATTTAACTGAAGAAGAAATGGGTACAAATGGCTCTCATCACTGCCTTTGAGCTGTTGTTTCATACAAGTGAAAACAAGAGACTTCCACTGGTCATGCATGTTGGATACTTGAGACATCTAACTCCCAACTTAAATCAGAGGAAGTTGAGAGTCTTGACATCTTTAGTAAACTAGAAGTGACTTACAGCTGGACAAGGAAATAAATATGAGTCTCCTGAATCTCAGTCCAGCATCCTGCTAATTAGCACCACTTACAAGCCTGGGTTTGGTGTAGTAGTAGTAACATTCCACTCTGGCCAAAATGAAATGTTTTGATTTTTTGAAGTAGCCATTGATTCTTCTATCCATGGTTCAAAAGTGGCCCAGAAGCACTTTACTTTGGGGTGGGTCAGTGTCTCCCTCCTCTAGCATTAAGAGCCAACCCCAGGGGCCTGGCAGCTGCTCACAGGTGGAAATTTTGGCATGAAGGGAAGCTAACTGCCTTAGCTACCTGCTGCCTGGCTATGTGAGCAGGGCAAGACCTTTGTGAGCAGGGCAAGAAGGGAGCAGCATTCACTCAATTAGCTGCCATCCACAACCATCACTGAAGGCAAGTGCAGCTACTGCTGCAGAGAGCTATTGTGCTTATTACAAAACCTTCAGCAGTGAGAGCCAGCCAGACTAAAGGAGGCTCTTGTTCCCATGTCTGACTGCAATAAGACCAAACATATTTTGTGTATTTACTTTACAGCTGAACTTCACCCTACGTGCTGAACTTAGACCTTCAACAGCTGTTTTTCAGCAACCATATGGCAAAGCTTTTTTCTCATGGAACAGCTGACACAATCAAGAGGCACTCTGCAGCATGAGTGACAGCTTATTCCTGGCATAATGTAGCTTTCCCACATCCTGGCCCCTATTCCAGCAAATGTGTGCCAACCCTTCCTACCTGTCGTCCTTCCAGCTCAATCTGGAAGTTTTTTGCCGACTCCTGGGTCACCCGCCCTCCGAAATCCAGCTGGTAGACTTGCGTTGCCTCGTTCCACAGTGGCTGCTTGTTGGCCATCACATACACAAAACCTTGGCTTCCCAGTCGCCCATCCTCCTTCTCACTGGCCTTCCGGCACTTGAATTCATCCAGCTCACTGGCTGTCCTCAAACTCCTTTTAGTTTTCCAACCCTTTTTACTGCCCTGGCTCTGGTTCATCAGTTCATCTCCGCTGATAAAAAGCTCCGGCTCACTCTCTGAACTGTCCTGAAACTCATTTGTCTTGTTTAGTTTCTTGGACTTCAGCTGATCTTTTTGGCTCTTGACCTTCTTCTTCTCCCTCCCCAGCCGAGGGCTGGCTATCAGTGAATTGAAGTCAGTCAGTGTCCTTGCCTCCTTTTTGACCTTGCCCTCAGTGATAGCCTGCACATTTCCTTCCTCGGCTCGACTGTCCAGGCGTTTCCGGCTCTTCTTGCCAAATTTGTCTGTCCTTTGAGGAACAGGGCTTTCTGTCAAGGAGAGCACCTCCTGGAAAGTGTCTGCTGTCTCCACCATTACCTCTGTGCCCACGTGGCCCTGCAGCTCTGCTGGCGGGGGGGACATCACCGGCTTCTCCACCACAAGGAGCGGCTTGGGGGGCAGGGTGCCCTGGGGGTTCTGTACGGGTGGGCAGGCGCTGTAGGAGCTCCACGGGTGCAAGGCGATCGGTGGCAGCTGTAAACTAGAGCAGGTGCTGCTTCCCGGGTACATGGGCGGCAAAGGGCAGTAGGGGAGGCTGGATGAATAACCTGGCTGAAGCACAACCGTGGGCTCCTGCTGTGCAAACTGTGTTGGGGCCAGAGCTTCTTTGGGGGAGCAGGGGGCCTGCATTCCCTGAAGGGGTGGGGCACTGTAGCTTCCTGGGTAAGGTACTCCGACCCCGTAACTCGTCTGAAAAGTGGCAGTGGGACTGGTTGGAGACTTGGGGGAAACAAATGGCACTCGAGACATATCCAGATGTTGAGCTTGACCAATGATGAGTGGAGGAGGTTTTAAAGGGTTGGGCACTGAGCTCTGAGATGTCCTTTCCTGAGGAACCCATATCTCTTCGCTCACCATAGGATCCCACTGGTACGGCGGCGGCCGTTTCACACTTAGGGTAGCCTCTGTCAAGGACACGGGTACATGCCGTACTGATTTCTCCACTGGGCAGTGCTGAGAAAGGGCCTCATCCTCCGTGAAAGCGGAGTTGATATAATCCGCTCGGTCACGGGAATTGTCGGGCGGGCTCAGCAAGCTGTAGGAGGACTGCGAGGCCAGAGGCGAAGTACTGACAGAGTGAGCAATGACAGAGCTGTGCTGGGAGCCACTCCCTGTGCTCAGATCTGGTCTCATGCCACCAATGCTGGAAGTGCTGCTACCAGCGTTGGCACTAGCGATGCTGCCCGCGCCGCCAGCACTCGCAGTGCTGCTGCTGCCAGCGCCGCCACTGCTGCACTGGCTGCAGGTGTACAAGGCTGTGGGCACTCTCTGCTGGTACTGTGCTGACACAATGTTGCTCTTGGCCTTAGGGGGAAGTTGCAAGGTGGCTCTCTGACCATCCATCAGCTGAGCCATTTTCAGGGCTGCCTCTCTGCTGTTCCTCCGCAGAGTAGCATGAATGATACTGCTGTCCAGCCTCTGCGCCATGCTTCTGCCCTGGGACAGCTGGCTGGCGATGTCAGGGTAGGGCGGCGGGTCCCCGGCGGGGATGGAGTAACGGGGGACCGTGAGACGGTTCAAGGTGGCGCTGGTGCAGGGCTGCTGCATCTTCTTCTCGGCAGCCGTGATGCGCAAGGTGGCGGAGCTGCCGGGGCCCGGCAGGGTGTAGGTGCTCTGGGCACAGAGCATCCTGGTGCGAGGCCGGCACACCTCCTCCACATTCCCGCTGCTGTCGAACGTCGTTATCCGCTCGTACCCCAGGGGCGTCTGGTAGTGCCCCGCCGGGTAGAGGGAGAACTCGCCCTTCTTGAGGCAGAGATCGAGGGGCGGCTGCGGGGGCCCGGGCGGGGGGCCGGGGTAGGGAGGCGGCGGGTTCATCTTGTTCAGCTGCAGCTCCTGAGCGGCCCCGAAGATGACGGCGTCCCCTTCCACCAGCGGCGGCCCCGGCCGCGGGGCCTTGGCCTTGGCCGGGGGCTCATGCTCGCGGTCGCCGTGGTCCCGCAGGTCGGCCAGGGCGATGGCGGGGGGCGCGGGGGGCGGCGGGGCCCACGGCCAGCGCCCCCGCCCCGGGGCCGGGAAAGCGGCCCGGAGCCCCCGGGAAGGGCCCCGGCCCCTCGCCCCCCGCCTCGGCCGGCGGGTTTGCCAGCACGTCCAGCTGCACGTTCTGGTTGGCGAGCAGCGACTGGACCAGGCCGATGCTCTGCGTGGGCGACATGGCCTGCGCCGAGCTGTGGATGGGCGCGATGGGGATGTTGACGGTGCAGGGCGGGCTGCTGGCGGGCGCGCCGGGGGCGCCGGGCACTGCAAAGGACAACACAGAGCGTCAGGGCCGCCCGGCCTCCGCTCCCCGGCCCAGCACAGCGCCCCTGCCGCAGCGAGGCCCTTTCGAACTGTCTGCTACCTGTGCGCACTCTGCTGCGCCCCGAGAGGCTGCTACCTGCTCCCAAACGCGGGGATCAGACCTCAGAGGGAACTCGTATGGCAGCCCGCCCCCAGTGACTCCCATCGCACAAGAGCTGCAGCTGGTGATCAGCTTAAAGCCACTTCTTGGGAGCGACACTTCAGAGGTCAAGTTGGGGCCATGCTTTCAGCCTACACTACAATCCCCATGGACTGTCACGATTTCGCTCAGCATTCACTCATCATCAGGTTTTAACTGCTTCTGCTCAAATCAATAAAAGTTTTGCTAAGTCGGGACTCACTAGTTTTCAGGGAGGGACTTTTGATAGTAAATACAACAAATCAACAAACAACTGAACAAAGCAAACAAGCAAATAAACAAAAGAAGTGGAGGCTAAGAAAGTTGAAGACCTGCACTGCAGACACTGTGTAATATCTAGTATAAGGTTTCTAGACTCAATGAGCTGGGGAGAACTGGAGAACACAGACAATAGTTGGCAAAAGCTGAGCATAGTGGGTGACAAACCAACCAGCAATGCAAAAGGAAGGAACCTGAAATGGAGGGAGGGGAATATGATGGAATGAAGTGCAGACAAAACTTATATAAGTTCTCAGATTTGTAAGGAGAAAATGTGAAGAAATAGATGGGAAGGCAAAAAGATTGAAGAAGTGGGTACTTAGGGTGACTGCAGCATTAATGTTTGGACAGTCTGCAATCAGCAATGTATAAAGAAGCATATGTATATGAGAAAAAATTCCCACATGTGGTGGCATTGAAAAAGGGAAAATGCAGCAAGAAGAAATTCCCATAATTTTGAGCAGAAGCATGAAGAGTGCTCAATTGTTTGCAGTTCCTTTTGCAAAAAGTGGTTGATTCCAATAGGAACTACCACTGAAAAGCTGGAGCAGGAAAATGAAGACACTGGATCCAAATAGTCAAGAAGGAACAAAACAGAATAAAGAGGGAAAACAGTAAATACTATATTAGAACTTCAAAGAATATTGCAAGTTCTTTTTATTAAACTTCCTGTAAAAAACCCCACAGAAAATGGTAAGTGAGTTGTTGAAGTAGGTTTGTGGAAGGAAAAGAGTCCAAGGATCTAGTGTCATATCCAATTTTTATCCAGTTTTTTATCCATATCTAAGTGTGCCAAATCCTGTGGAGACCTCTGATTTGCAAGACCAGATCATGTAAGAGATCCATTAGCCAGGACTCCTCCAAACACTGACCAGTTCCTAATTAATTTCTAATTAAAATTCAAGTCATCTACCTATGCCCTGTGATTACATTTTCGGTAACATCAGGCTTTTACCAGCATCAGTCCTGAACGTGGGAGGTGTACAGACAGCACTGTGGCTACACTGGCAAATACTCATGGTAGTTCAGTTCATTCCTCCAGAGGAAGACCAAGAGCCAAAGCTGACTGACCCCAAGGCAGTTCTGAGGTTCTGTGCTTGGCTGGCAGGCCATGCTTTCACCCTTGTGCCTGCAGGCTTAGCAATTTAGCTGCCAGAGCCTGAGGTTTAATTGTTAGCTTGGCTTGAGCAGCCCTAAGTGTTGCTGTAGTTTTGCCTTATCCAACAAAATATCATTTGTTGTGGTGTTGCCTAATACTCTTGAGTGTTTAAATCCAATGTTTTCTTCATTTCTCCAAAGGTTTTTAATTGATTAGTTTGCATACTTTGTAAGTTGAATCAATTCACTGTGCATTTGTCTTGCCAAATCTTTACTGGCTACATTAAAAAACACCTGTCCCAAGTGTACCTCACTATGAACATTGCACTGCCCAAGAGCAGCTTTCTGCTATGTTTTTTTTAATCTATCAGGTAATTATTATTTACCCTGCAATACTTTTTCCTTTAGTAGATGGTACTTTCTTCCTTTATATGTAGGCTTTAGAAAGGATATCCCCAAAAACATTTTTGAAGATTTAAGTAGCCACCATTTACTAAGCCAGAAATTTTCAGAAGAAATTAGAAAGGCAAAGTGGACAAGAGGAAGGCTGTTGGAAGGACAGGGTAGTATAATCCTTTTATGGCCTTCCCAAAGAGCTGTTACAAGAGTCCCCAATAATTTTCTCTCTGTTTATGTACCTGCAATTATGAGCACCATTTCATCTCTTAATGCAGATTCAACCCAATTTTCAGGAAGAGATGTGAAAACTTTGTATTAACTTTTTTCTTTCCTTTTTAGTTTTTATATTACTTTCTGACAGCTTGGACCATGTTTCATAATAGCAAATGTTGGGTGCTTCCTATTAATAATATATATATGGTCACCAATGTCTCTGTTATTTTCTTCAGACACTACAGGAGAGTATCATGTAGGCAGAAATTAAGCAAGGCAAGTCCCCCAGGCTGTGAAAAAAATGGGCTTAATTTGAAACATACAAGTATTTCTTTAGAAGTCCAGAGGACTACTCTGTTGCCTGGGTCAGACAAAAGCTCTGCTGCTGTCAGCAGTTGTAACCCTGGTCTGAAATAATGAGAACATTTCCATTTATTTCAGTAGATTTTAGCATTGTTCTTAATTGGTTTGCAGTGCTCACACTCCTTCCTCTTTAAAGGGTACTGGCATGACAGCCACTTCCATTGTTCCAAAAACCTGTGACCAGGCAACAGGAATCCCTCAGTGATATGAAAATTCTGAAAATGTATTAATTTATCTTTTCTGTTGTTTGTTAATTTTATTGGCATGATGACTTTGTTTTGATTGGAGGAGGCCTCGAGTACTTCCAGTCCTTTCACCTCCCACATCACATGACATGCACTCAAACCTTCCTTGCACTGCTTAAATCTTCTGCTACCTCAGTGAAGTGGAAAATTCTTCCTGATTCTGCTTTGTTTCTCAACTACTTTACTACTTTAGCCTTTTAGTACTGATAAAAATCCAAAGGAGCATTTATGACTTCTCAAAGGGTGGCTGAGTTTAATGGGAACCTGCTCTCCAACCCAAGCCCCTATCAGCTGTCTGTGCTTTGATGACATCAGGTCTCAAGAACAGCCTGTTTGGGTTTCAAATACATCATACAATTCTGTCCTATCAAGATGCAGAAAGCAAAGCTTCAGTCTGTGGAGAACTCCTAGCAAACTAAGATGAATTAGCAGATGACTAATTTCCCAATGAACTTGAAACTAATGAGCTCTTTATGGATTACATTTTCCACACGCCATAGAAAACAATGCCCACAACACATATTTAGCCTTATTCTAACTCAGTTCTACAGGACCCCATCAGACCAAAGGGTTTTGATTTGTGTGTTTACCAGAGGGAACCATGACACAACCAACCTGACCTCCATCTAGCTTAACCCATAACACAACAGCCCTCCAGCTGCTCCTTACCTGGTAAATCATCTTCGTCTTCACTGAAAACATTTGGATTAAAGACAGGCATGTTAATGTAGTCCATTGAAATCTTCCGCACTTCTGGGAGATATATTGTCATTTGCCTGGGCTGCAGATGCAGCAAACTGGTTTTATATATTACTAGAGAAAGAACATAACAAGAAACAAAAAATTTTGTTACACAAATAGCATGTAAAGCTAAGGAAGAAGCAATTCAAAGCAGACAGAAGGGCTATGAATATTGTCATTTACTGTATACATGTGCTTGGGCAAGCCATTATTTGTCAGATGACCACGTAACACTTTGCATAAATGGGATAAAAGAGATTGCTTTCAGCTATTTCTCTTTAAATGGAAGCAGCATCTCTGTAATTAAATAATTAATTACTTCATCTTGTATTCACATCTATTTTTATGGAAGGAAAATACTTTTTTCCATTCTACTTTTGAAACTTTTCACCACAGGATACTACCAATATACAGGGGAAAACTGGAAAGCTCTCAGGAAGGAAATCTGCTGACTGTTACCATACACAAAGAAATCCCACTGGACTCAGGAAATCCCTGGGACCCAAACCATTGGAGACTGGGAGAACATTTGAAAGAAGCATCACTATGCATTTACTCTACAGTTATATCCTTCCCTATCTGCCACTGGCAGTGACAGAATTAGAATGACCTGTGTTCATTAGACTGCTGATAGAGGTCCATATGGCCACAAAAGCTATCCACCTAATTCTGCATCCAGGGCACCTTTATGTACCCTGACCCAACCACATAATGCAACATGGGACAAAGGAAGTTTTCTAAAGAGCTCATTAAACTGCTAGACTTGTGTTATTATTTCAGCTCTGAGCTCAGTTCTGCAGGGTGGTACCCTGTTTTTCACCCAGCCTTCTTCCTTCCCAACAGGACTATTGGGCAGAACTGGCCCACCCAGAGAAAGGTTGATGATAGACAACTGCTGCTTTTAATCAGATTACTGATGCTCCAGCAGGAGAACCGTGTGGTGAGGCTCTGCACTGACTTGAAGAATCTTGAGCATGAGGCCATAATAGCTTTTTCATATAATTTATAGCTAAATAACTATAAAAATCTGACTTTTAAAAATACTTCTATGGCAGTAACTTAAAACCTATTATTTCTATAGTCCTCTTGCAAAACCCTTTTTTTTATTTTGTGTGGGTTTTGTTCCAATAAACAGTAAAAATAGAGGTCTGGGCTCAAATGTTGATTTACTGTTTTATTACAAGTGAGATTTTATTATTTTATTGATACCTCATTATTGTATTTATGGATTTTAATCTCCTTTAGTTACAGTGAATTTAATGAAATACAATTCCCACTGTCCACAGAAAATAAGTGCTTTGTTAAGGAAGCCTTTTGATCACTTACAAAATATCTCATGGCATAAGTTTTTTGTTTGTTAGAAAAAAATTAAGATGAAAAAAATCAACAATTTACTTTTACCTGCACCAAGGTTAGTTGGTAGGAAAGCAGCCAAACCCACAATTTTAAACTTGGTTCCCCAGATATTAGATGTGACCTGAGCAAGGTAGTTGTGCTGCAAAACAAAAACAAGATCATTTTTATCTGATAAAATCTGTATCAAGCTCTAACAAAAAACTGCAGAGCAATCAAGCTATTGCAAGCAATAATGCAATTTCAGTCTATCTTGTTTTTATTGTATTGAAACAGCCTAAAGTGCCTATGTAGCAACAGTTTTACCCAGCCATTAAGAAGACTCATTCTGGTATCTTAACACCATCAGAAATGATGCATGCATCAGCCACAGGGTGACTAGAGCTACTGAAGATCTGAACAACACTTAGTGGAGAACTTCTGTTTAGTGGGAACAGGTCTGTTTTCTGGCATTTGCAGCCCCTGCCCAGCAGCACCACGGCTATTCTGTATTTAAGAGAGTTGATACACCATGCCCATTGGTTCTGTACTCATGAATCACTTTATAGAACAATAAACAAGACAGAAATTAATTACTCATAACAACAAATTCCCCAGGAGCTCCTAAAGCAACTTCCCAAACCACTGTTGCTATGGTACACTCATTATGGGTCTGAAAGACCAAAGATTTTTCTCAAAAGCCAGGAGTTATGCTGCTAGTATCAAGAGCAGGATCTAAGCCTCAGGTCTTCTGCTCTATGAAGGGCTTTTGGTCCTATCTCCATGTAACTGTTTAGAATTTTTCATAAAAAGGAAAAAGCGAAACAAGAGAGCAGAAGAAACCAAACCAAACAAAAGAAAATGAAAATAACACAGACTTGTTATTAATGAAATATACAACCCAGAGAGTTCTACAGCCTGCTAAGTTTCATTTACCCAGAGAACATGATCACCACAAAGAGCACAAAGTGGTAATTCCTTTCCTTCGTTCCAATTAAGACTATTTCATGTTAATTATTAAACAGATCATGTGGTCCTATGAAGCAAACATTTCCTTCTCTCTGCAGTCCCTAGCAAAGCAGAGAATTATGGTGGCATTAAGATGGGTCTGAGAAACTGATGAAGCGTTTTCACGTACATGTTCAAAAAGCCAACAACATCATCTAGAATAAACCTCTCACATGGATTCACACTGACAAAAGTATCTGGTCCTGGTACTTACCAAAAAACATCTGATACTCCATTGCACTTTTGAACATTAGTACTGACCTGGAAGATGCAATTCTCTAGTTCTAGCTACTTACTGTAATTTAATGCAAACTTTCATTGCTGGTCATTGGATCTCTATCACAACATGCTGCCTCATGAAAAAAATGCATTTGAATCAGGTATGGTAACAAGGTGCACAATACCTGAGTAATATCTTCTAAAGGAAACTCTCTTCGTGTCAGGCTTGGAGAACCAATGGAGGGTTTCCTTATTGGTAACCTTGGTGATCTTGAGATCTCCTGTGCAGCTCGTGACATCTTTGGAGATTTGCGAGCTTCTATATTGATTCTGCAAGTAAAGCAATGCTTGGAATCAACAATGGGCAAGCTAAAATGCACAAAACTCATGTCTTTGAATGGAAAGATGTAAGAAGAAGACAATTGGTAGGATGTCCTCGAAGTGACTAATAAGGACTGTACAGCCTACAGAACAGAGAATTACGGGTCAAATTTGAAGATACAGAAGACCTGACACACTTGCAGTAACTCATGCTAGATGCTTTTAATTAATCTAACAAAGCTTATAGCAGTTCTGCCAGATACAATTTATCTTCCACTAATCCCAAAAAGGTGTAGAGATGAATGATCTCAGGTATGCAGACTTTGAGCAAAGTCTCAAGAAATGAGAAAATGACACCTCAGCTGACAGATTTTTCACATTACTATATACAGCAAACCAAGGCTCCACAGATGTTGTCACTGTTCCTACCCTAAGCCAAAAGTTATTTCTACCTCCCACTATAGAAGGTGGGGTCAAAAATACCAGCTTAAGCACCTAAATAACTCACTGGCAGAAATGTAATAAACAAAAGTAATAAACAATCTGTTTGAAGGACAAAATGTATTCCATGGTGGCAAGAGAGAAAAAAAAGGAAAGGTGGGAGAGTTTATAAAATCTTTCTTTGAGACTGCCTGGGGAGAAATTGTGCTGTATTTCTTCCCATTACATTTTGTCCCAGAAATCTTCCTCTAAGTCCAGCTCTACACCAGTCTCTGAGATCACCCCAGAACTGCACCCTGTAGAGGACCCCAGTCTTACAGAGAATTCCTATGTGCCCAAAGGAGTTTACTTTTCATTTTACAAGGTGTCAAGAGATGGATGGAGAGGCAGGGAGGAAGAGAAGCTCCTTGGGGAAAAAGAAGAACTATCCAAGACATTATTACCTTGGGAGTTTAGGTGATTTGCTAGCTCGACTGATTTTTGGAGATTTCTTTGCTGCCCAGTCATCGCTGAGTTCGATATCGCTGGAGTCAGAGCAGTTGCAGCTGTCAATCACAGTGGAAATCAAGCTGTTTCCATAGATTTCATCTATCAAGACAGGCCCCAGAAAATTTAAGTGCTGCTTCAGAAAACTGGTATAAATTATAACTCTCAGTCATCAGAAGCATAAACCCGATCCACAGGCAGCAGTTGAAATAAAACTTTGCAGAGGAAAATTAAATGTTCTCCACTCTGCCTTCAAACTCCAAATTTCCAATGGTTTGAACTCAAGTGAACATCATTCAGAGGGATGAATAGCATTCAACTGACTCCAAAATTGAGACTAAAGAATATTTTCTGCTAATTAGCAATCTATATTCCATTACTCAGAATACAAGAAGTTATCTTCTGTAAAACAGAAGGCAGCAGGGTATAATTTCAGATGCTTCTAGGTCATGCTAAAGATTTTTTTCACATCAGAAAAAAAATCAGATGCTACCATCCATGTTGCATATATGTATTTTTTAAAGCTCTTGAGGATTTAACGTCCAAAATATTGCTACATCATTTTTACACAGAGCAACAACTGAATTGTACCTGCTTTTCCGTCTGTTTTGGGATCCATGATGACAAACTCCGGCCGCAACTTGCTGATACGACGTCCTTTCAGGATGGGCACCAGTCCCCCAAGGTATTCCAGGTACAGCGTGTAACAGGGACCACCGACCTCTGGGTCATCTTCCGTCCGCTTCATGGTGCAGTGCAGCCGTTCATTACCAGCTGTTGGGTAGCTGACAAAATCTCTCATATTGTTTGGGTCTGGGATTGGAGGCTTCATTAAGCAGAGGAAGGAAAGAGAAAGTTTTCCAATATTGGTTGGGGTTCTTTTCTGTGGTGACTTAATCCCAACACAACCAGCTGAACTTGAACCCAGCTCTAATTTGGCAGGTGAAGATTAGTATAGTTTACTTCATGAGTTACGCAGGACCCACATGCAAGACAGAATGGCTGTGTTATTTAGTTAGATCAAAAGCAATTGTACACATAAAATGACAACTAAAACTAGTTTTAAAAAAGGAAGGTTGAACCTGTGGTCAGTGCACTGAATGAGACAACAAACGTGTCTTCAAGTTCCAGCTCTTATCAGAAACTTCGTTTTGAACTTGAGTAATGGGTATCTTGTCTCCTGCAGGCCCTCGAAGTGAACCTGGACACTCAGATCCCATTCCTGGTTAGTACTGGTACATGCTATGCCACTATTCTACAATGCTGTCACTTCTGAAAGAAGCTTGTACTTTTTATATCACTTCCAAGCACATGTCCCACCCTAGGTGAGGGCCTATTTGTGTGCCATGTAGAGAAATACAAACACAAAGCTTGGGTTACTTTGCCCTGCTTGCCAGCACACTGTATTAATCCATGCAAAACTCAATCCTAAAGCAGTAGGACTGCTTTTGTCTAGGACAACATAGCCTGTATGACACAAATACTATTAATGTGTGTAAGTCAACAGAATTTCTTTCAAAATGAAGGCATAAGAAAAAAAAGGTAAGGAAAAAAATAGGCTTCATTGACCTGGCAAATGGGTATAGGCTGAGGAGTGGCCTATAATGTGGTCTGCAAGCTGGAGTGGGAAGAGGAATGGAAGAGGGTGCCTTGCCTAGCACTGAAGGCATGGCTGACAACATAGGTTCAGTGGGGGACTGGGATGAGGCAGGGTGAAGTGTAAGTGCTGATGAGACTCCAGAAAAACCCATGAAACAGGACAGGCACGTAGCTTCTGAAAATCCTGCTCCCACCTCTCAGCTATGCAGTGCCACAACCGCTCTGCATCCTCACAACTCCTCTAGGAGGTGACACAAGGACTGTTGGCAATGACGTGTCCCTGTACTGCCCTCTGATCCTCACCAGGGCTCCCAGCCAACTGCTGCCTTCATCCAGCCCATCCCGTCCCCTCCTCTGCGTTCCCTGACAGCAAGGAAATTGTCACTGGTGCTGTAGAGAGGGGTGAACAGGGAAACAACATGGAAAGCATCCTGTGGAGAATCTCAGATGGAAAGAACTAGAAAGAACTGGAGACTTCCAGCCTCATAAATGCTCTGCATCTTTGGAGATCCAGGAATTATGGTTATAGCAAGGCATTTATTGTTCTTTGACAAATGAAATTATTTACAGTTGCACAAACTGCCCTGATTAGCAGTACCCAATTGGAACCATGCTGAATTATTATTTTGTAGGCATAATTTGTTCTCATTTAAGCTGAGACAGCCCCACTGATTTCAAATTAGTTGTTCTAGCTCTGCATTGTTTTAAAAAGGATCTCTGGCTGAAGAGACTGTTGTAACACATACACAAAAATCACAAAAATATATGTTTGCCTGTCAAGCATTTACCAGCTAATGCACTGGTTTATAGGCTGTGATAAACAGCCTGGAAATCCCAAGATGTTACTGAGGGCATAACCATGAAACAAACAGGTTGTGCAGATGATTCTGCTGGTGGTACAGGAAAAGGTGTGATACCTGGTTCATTATTCCACTGTTGGAGCAGTAAGATTAACAGAACTCAGTGTTAGTAGAAATGTTTGGGCAGCCCCAGGTATTAAGACTAACCTTCCTGGGAATATAAGCACTCATGTGACATGTAGAGGGGCTACAGTTTTACCCCTGTGAATCCCTCCTGTAACCGTGACAGAGCATTATCACCAGCATGAGCTTCTTCAGAAGTCTCTGTGAGTCACCAGCATATTTTACCCTTGTTATGTACTTGGAAAGGCCATCTCCATGGAATAATGCAGATCAGCATGTGTGAGCCTTCTTTTCAGATTTTTAATAGGCCCCAAATGCATCAGTGGGGTCTTGAGGAGGATGCAAAAGCTTTTAAAATGATAAAATCTTATCATTTAGCCATTGCCACTTAGGAGCACCATGGATTGGGGAGATCTAGCAACACTTCCCTCTTCACAATGCACACATTTCCTCCTTTTTACCTTGATTGTTGGTATGAAGGCAGTGGTGAGGTACGAGCAGAGCCGAGGGGGTAGGGTCAGCTTGCTGATGTCCTTGTCGTCCCGCAGGCAGCTGGCGATGGTCTGCTGGCACAGCAGCTGCAGGCTGGAGACCCTGTGCTCCACTCTGACAACGTACAGCGCAGGCCCAGAAGCCATCAGCAGCCGGGAATCCCTGTGACCCCAACAGATGGAGATGATGGGACGCTGCACGAAGAGCAAAAGGATACAACTTCAAAAGATTTTGTGCAAAAGATCTTTTTCCCAAGATGGCTGCACAACAAGTGATGACATGAATTCAGACCGATCACCTTACCCTAAGTCTTCCAGAAACTTTAAGTTCCCACCACTGCTCCTAGAAGAAGGATATGAACATCTCAAATCATCAAAAACAGCAGCTGATGTTTATTCAGTGCTTTTTACTCTGGATGTTTAAACTCTTCACACAAAGAATCAGCTACCAAATTCAGTACCTAGATAGGATAAGTGACTTTAAAGACACAGGGTGTTAAGAAGTAGGACCTTTGATGCCCTATCCAAACGATTTATTCAGTCACTTAATCAGTCTTCATCCACTGGTAACAGCTCATATTTTACAACTGAAAAGTTAAATTATATGCCCGGAGACACTTAAAAAACAAGTGGAGAAAAACCCAACCATCTTTCTTGTTTTGTGCCACGTCCTCTGCTGCAGCGTCTCCTTTGAACTATTCCCAGAGGAACTGAACTGTGAAAGAGCATCAGGAATGCAACAGAGAATGGCCTTTTGTCTTCTACTTGTCTACACTCAAAATGTCCAAATCACAACAGTAAAACCAGAAAGATTCAGGGCCAACTGATATGAAATGTCACAATGTGGAACAGAATAATGATGAACAAACACTGCTGCTTAGAACATTTATTTCCTGCTTGCAAGGGGCTCCCTAAACTTTCCTTTAAAATCTCCTATTTTCTTGTAAAGTACCAGTCTGTTGTGACCTCCTCCAGCCTTATCATCATAACTTTTGCCCTTAATTGTCACTTGCATCCACCTGTCATCTCTTGCTTTCTGTGTTACAAAGCACCTGTATTTGCTTATATACACACACCCTATGGTATTTCAATCCCATCTGCTATCTCTGTGCAAATAAACAACACAGAGTAATGATGAAGCTCTGACTCCATGAAGAATGCTATACAGCAGGTTGTCATCAGTGAACTACAAAAGATTTACTCCTTTCTGTGAAGGTCTTCCTTGTTTTCACCATCTGTGACACTCAGAAGTTTAAGCAAACATATTTTTCATCTAAATAATGAACTGTATTTATTGAAAAGTCAGGGTATCTTCGGAATATCTTTTCACAAGACACATCACACAAGAAGACAGGGTCAAGACACCACCAATAAGAACTTTTATTCACTCCTCTATTAGCAGTATAGTACCCAGATAGCAGGGTTAGATCTGCCCAGAGGTTACTCACCTGGTCTGGGGAAAAAGCCTCCCTTCCACTTACAAATTCAAGATGCTTAAAGGCAAGAAACTGGGAAAAGATGGTTTTATGTGACTGATATAAAGCAAAATGCAGCTGGCACAGCACTATATCAATGTTTATCATCAAAATAAAGCATTGGATGAAAAACTTTTCCACATAAGAGATCTTCTCTACTATGTCACTTTATCCTAGATTTAAATTTCAAGGAAAATACTGGTTTTAAAGTAGGAGGAATGAAGGAACATCTTTTTAATTACATCTAGGCAATACCACACACACACACCTCCACAAAGGCACAAATCTTCAGGCTGATTGATACGCAAATAGAAAGAAGCAACATGTGAACCTTGTGATTTTCACAGTAATTGCTGAATGCATTTTGTAGTGGAGAACCTCCAAAGCATTGAGAAATCCTTTGTGTACCATCAATAATTCTACATGGCTTGCCATAGCCATGATCTGTGGGATACAGCCTTGCATTTGAGGAGAGGCCACAGGAAGTATCCCCTACTGATTGGTATTCCATGATTTGTGAGCGTGGCTCGGCACGCACAGTGCCTGGCAGCAATGGGACAGTTCAAGCTGCTTACCAAATAAATGCTATTGAAAGGCACTGGCACAAGGTAGGTACCTGCCACATCTACTACATGACAGCCTGAGAACAGCACAGTAGAAGTGACCCTGATTCTCCCCAAGGGCTGAATCCCAGCATGGACAGCACTATCTACCTGATCATTACTGTGGGATCCAAACTGCATCCTGCTGCTCACCTTGCATCAGCTACAGCTTACCTATAAACACAGTGAAGGAACAAACAAGTATGTGCCTTGGCACACAAATGTTTATTTATTGGACAGACTTTAATGGCAGAAGAGAAGTCGAATATCCCAGCTATCATAATCCACTACAGCACACCCAGACCTGATGTCTCATATTGCAGCTATTATAACCCAATATATCACACCCAGGTAGGACATTCTTCATCCAAATAGAGCCAAATAAAAGCATCTCTTTCCTCAGGTTACTGCTGCATGCAGAGAGCATCAGAGGTGCAGAGAGCACCAGTGCAGGAACCTCTGCAATCTAAAACACAGTCTCAAAGGAAAGGTTTTTCAGAAGCTCTGAAACACAGGGTAGACCTCTGGCAACACAGCACTGTGGAGCTCCGAGGAGTAGAAAGTCAGAAGCTGAAAACTTCACCACTGTTTCCCAACAGGCAACCATAATTTAGTCACCTTCTAAACTTCTCAATGTATGATGCTCCTATATTCTGTTCATGAATGTACATACAAACAATATGTGAGTGGGTGGATGATTAAACAAACACACACACACAATACCTACAAGTGCTGTACTGTTTGTAAATCATGACATTTCTACTCTTCCATTTGTACAATTAGTCTCCCCACATACCTGATTATGTTTTAATAGTTTCAACCTCAACAAAGAGCACTTGCACCAAACCACCAGACATACCTTGCCTTCCTTTCTCTGAAATGGTCAAACCCTTGGTGCTCCTCCAGCCCAGTGTTCAGCAACATTTAATTTACAGCAAAGGACTAAGACTTCAGATGAGCTTCAAGGAAAATTAGCCTGTCATTACAGGCTTGGAGAAATAAAAGATCACCCAAATGCCAGATCTGACCTGACCTTTAAAGTACTGCTCCAATAATATTTTTCAATAACTATGCTTCCCAGTCTTTCCCTTGCTGGACAAGAGATATGAATCAATTACTGCAGCAAGTCAGTTATGAGCTGGCCACAGCTTTCTTTTCAAATTCTACTGAGAAAAAGCAATTGACCTCCAACATCCAACATAAAAGTATTGCTCCCCATAAAGCATCCACTTATTTGCACTGTTTTAGTGAAACAAGGAAGGACAAAAGTTTTTGTATCCAAATTTTTGTTGCATCCAAAAGTTGTTGTATCCACGTTAAAAAATGAACAAGCAGACTCCAGGACAGAAGAATTTTATTTTCCATGTTTGCAGAGTTGATTTTTTTTTCTGCTAGGAATGAAGAAATGCAGGTACAAATATAACACGAGAATTTCTAATCTCACTTTGCATGTAAAAATATCATCAGGTTTTGAAAAATCTCAGCATAAACTGTAAATACCTGAATGAATTCCAGGGTTTAAATACCAACATGTAGCTCTATGGCAATTATATATTAGAAATTATTGGCTAAAGCACAAGAAAAAAAAATGCTTTATCAGGAGAAATACTGACTGAAAACACATCTCAACAAGTGACTAACAAGGAGCTCTTTTACCATTTCTTTCCAAGAGAGCTTTAAAGTGAGCTAAAGCTACTCAAATCTGTACCCCAGCTGGGATGTTGATTCCCCTTAGAAAAGCATGCAGGAATGGATATTCCCACTCAAAGCCCTGTGGTGGCTTCTTATAAGTCACTCTACTGTCTCTATTACAGGAGAGAACATAATATGTATACATTCCATCACTTGTATGCAGTTCACTCAATGAAAACACTGTTCTAGCTGATTCTTGCTGCCTGCCTTGAGCTCAGAAATCCTGAGCCATGGGGTCTGCCTGCTGCTTGAACTAATCCCTTGTTTGCTGGCACTGGGAGTCCCACTGGTAATGAAATAAAAATAGTATTCCAGGGCAGAAAGCCCAGGAACTAGCAGGACTTTTCTCAGGAGCAAGAACACAACTGCAAAATAGTATGCAGTGAATGGCATGTGTAAGTAGGTTGCCTGCTTGCTCTCACTGCAGACTGCTGATGTGGAGATGCACACTCTTCCCTCTCAGAGTCAAGCTGAAAGGTGCAATGGCTGCAGTGCCCACCTGGCTCCTGGGAGCTGTGCGTGCACACCTCTGTGCTTCCCATGGTGTGGGAAAGCAACCTAACACTCCTTCATTCTTCTTCTCCTCGTATTTACAGTGGGAAAAATATTAGCTGCTAAGAACTGATGGTGACAAACGATGAGGAATCTGCCACTGCTGTGGCCTGATATGATTTTTGATGTCATAAACTCTTATTTGATTGGCAGCTGTTTCTTACACCCTCTCTATTTCTACAGTATTTCTTAAAGAAGTCAATACAACAAGATTCCATTTTAACAGAAAGAGTTGCTTAGAAAAGTGTCTTCAATTTCCAGTTCTGATCAAACTCCATTCCTGCAGCAGAAATGATCCTGTGGCCTATATAAAGAAGACCAAGGTCCTCATTGATATACTAAAACATGTTTCATCAGTTAGTTCTGAACTGTTGCTTTTTTTTCCTGTAAGAAAATAAACTCTTCTTGAAGCTTTGTTGTCATCCCATAACAACTAAATAAAATTGATTTTAGGCAATATAAATGAAAGGCAACATTAATTCAGATGCAACAAACCTGAACACTCTGTGTGAAATAAATGAAGAAAAGTAAGCAAGATCTGCTCAGCTGAATAACATAAAAAGCAGCCTCTTCTTTCAGAACTTTTTGATCTGAATTAAACCTAAAATTGCACCTTTCTTCTCTAGTCTTTACAGAACTACCAGGTTTCTGCAGGATCAAATAATCTTAAATCTATTCATTTAGCTGCTGGGACATTTCCAGCAGAGAAGCAGTCTGTGAAATGCTGACAGCAGCAGGTCTATAGCAAGCTGGTTGTCTTCTCAAAGACTTCTGGAAACTTCTACCATAAAGATTTAGTCTTTGGCACACCACTGTGAATTTGGTTTAAAAATATTACACAGAGAAACATGGGTTTTTTACATTTAATTTTGTTGTCTATACCACATGTGAAGCTTAGTTCCCTCTCCTCCTCCTTTGCTGCACTTGAGATGTAATCTGTACTCACACCAGCTACACAGTGATATAAAACCTTAAAGTCATGTACATTTACTGTAGAATTAAAGGTGTATGGAGGAGGTCTGCATTGTAGCTTCCAAATCTGTGCTCTTGTTCCCTGGTCCTCTGTGGGGCGTATTAAGAAATCATAAAACCTGAAGAAGGGACTAAATATAAGCCACAAGACTGAACCATTACAAAGAAAAAAAAGTCACAAGTTTGTTAAAGTTGGCAGTTAGATAATGTTGAAGAGATCCTGTAGGAGACTCCTGTTCAAAGTTCAGGATATAGGAAGATATGAAGCATCTGTTTCCAATCAGAAGTGACAGCAGGTAAAGTTAGTTGATATAATAAAGACCTGTCTGCACATTAGATGAGATCTTCTAAAGTGACAGAACTGGGTTGCAGCATTTGGTAAACAATTTCAGCAGGACTATAAAACAGTCTTAAATGAGTTGATTATTCTCATGCCTGCTTGATGCCAGGGAAGAGTACTGAGGACTTACCAAACAATCTAAGAAATTAACATTCTTCCAATAAAAACATTATGACCAGCAGGGCAGCCTGCTGTTGCAATCTCATTTTTAAATGTTTGAAAAAGCAGAACCATGGAAAACCTGGGCATATTTTTGGTACCTCACATTGGTGTTTGTAGTGCATACAAGGACAGGCATAGTAAGAGGTAAATTTTACAGAAATTGATAGTATGTTTTTGAATAGCCATCAGCTGATCACCAGCCCTTAAAAGATGCTCTCTGCATAGAATTCAGTTCAATATTTGACCAGCCCTTACAGATGCTTTTTCAGCTCTTTCCACTCTATTCTGCAAACACATCCTTGCCAGGACGCCAGGCTGGAGCCCCAGAGCCAGGAACAGGAGTGACTGCTACACTGTGCCAACTCTACCACTCTGTTTATGAATGTTGTTTTTCAAGCAAAGTTACTGCTTTTATTTCAATACTTCCAAACAAGTGTGATTTCCCTATCTAGAGCTTTACAGTCAGCAAACTAGGTTTATGAACTATAAATTCCTACACTGAAGGTAAAAGCTTAAGAGAGTTAATCAAACAAGACAGAGGATGCCAAAACCACACTAAAGCTGGAGCAGAAGGCAGCATATAGAACATCTTGAAGGGATCCATGACAGCAGTCATCACTGAGATGAGTTACCTGCAGTTCCCAAATCTATTCTACGACTGGGGTTTGCAGTGACTTTATGTTCAGTAACATTCTAGCGAAGTTGCATATAAATCCTGTCAGTCTTAGACTGAGTTTTGTTATAAACAACAAAATCTGTTTCCTGACTATCCTACCGAAGACAGGACAGACAAACAGCAGAAACAAAAACAGTTCTGTATATTTTGCTGGTAAAATTTTCAGACATTTGATATGTCAAAGAATTGGGACAGAGGACCACATGGAAAATCAGTTTTGTACCTGTAATCCATTATTTTTTTAATGTTTTGTTCTATTTTTTCTGGCTTTTGTATTCAGAACAACATTCATTTATAATCAATGTGCTTTTCAGTCACACATTTGCTTCTTCATAAGAAAGTCTTAGCAGAAGAGTTCAAGATGAGCAAATTCTTTTTTTTTTTTTTTTTTTTAGTTCAGTAACCGGTGATGAATCTTATAAAATCCCATTACAAGGCTGACTGCCATGGTACAGAAAACGAATTAATTTATTCTGATGAGTTTGTCATGAGACAAATTACTAGGACCACTGACTCACTCTCATTTTTGCACATACATCTGTGGAGCACAGGCACAGCATAACAGAAGTCACCAGCAATTTTTTTGCAACACTGGTTTTTATCTGGTTTTGTCAGTAAACCAAATACTTAACAATGTTCTAGCATACCTGTCATTTAGCTGGTAATACTGCTAGACCAGCATTCAAATATATAGGAGAATAAAGTCCATGTGAGCAGACACAGGTGTTCTTCTGAAAGATCACTCACTTCCTCCTGCAGCTGAGTAAATATGAATTTAGATGCACCAAATAAAGAGACTAAACACTGACTAATAAGAGAAGAGGGGTGGCTCTAATTTTAGGTAGGTATATGCGCACAGCTTTTTAATAAACATAAATATATCAGTTTGAATGTTATTTTTATCCTAATTTCCAAAGGAAATGAGACTCCTTGATTCTGTTGTTAATTGGTGGTTGCCTCTTCCTGACTGTCCTCATCCTTCAATTAACAACCTGGCTTACAGCTTCTGAAGTTGTCTTTTAGTCTGCAGTTGACAATGGGGGAAGATATCTTCCTTACATTAAAATATTGCTATTCCCAACAAAAATACCAGCTGGAAAGAGCAGAAAGGCTTATATTACTACTTCCACTATTAGAAATACTGCAGTACAAACTTGGCATGCACCTGTTCTGTCTGACCTCTCAGCTGCCCTGTAAGCACTCACAGAATGGCAGGACAATTAGCCCGCACATCAGGGACAATTTGTGCTTTCTCCCAGCTGGTTGGGTAGAGGAGAAAGGAAAGAGCTGAAAGCATGAAAAGAAGTTGAAGCTATACATGGAGAACTAGAGGAGATGAAAGTATTTAAGTGAAGGAGAAATTGAGATTAGCAGGAACAAAGCAGTGAGGGAAAAGCCTGCACACACAGAGGTCACAGCCTGACCTGACGGGTTCTGATGCTCAAACCACAGAGTGATTTCACAGCCTGGCACCAGAGGGTTCAACAGCTGATGTGCACACACTGAGTTCTGGTACTGAAGTAACAGAACAAGGTTTGCTTTTCACCTGGGCTGGGAAAAAGGAACACTGATATAAACATGTTTTCTTCAGAACTGATCCAGAGAGAAAAGGTCTGTGCTACTTTGCTGCAAGGGCTACCTTTAAGGCAATTCAGCTGTGCTTATGGGTAAGTCCTTTAGGTACCTAAATCAGCATTAGATATCACTGTACACGTTTAGGTTGGCTTTAGAGACTGTTACTTTACACTTTACACAACTAAAGAATTCTATCTAAATTAGAGTGCTAAGGTTAATAAGCACAGGTTAATGCTAAATATAAGCAAACACAAAGGCTTAGCACATGGTTTACTATGTCACCCTTTTGCATCCATTCCAGATCAGGGTACTGGAAAAAAAATGACAATACATGGTATCATCATTAAATATAATTAATATATCTACAGCATTTTCCTTCACTTTTAGATTTCAAAGCTATTGCAAACTTTCATTACTAGCAGCAGAAATCAGAATGAAGTCATCCCTATTCTGCAGAAAATGACACAGAATTACATTCAGCTGGGCTCTGAAGTACCAGCAAAGACCTTTGTGCTCCTGAGCAGCTCACAGACCATGTGCTGGCATTTACTTGGCAAGTTACATGACTGAGGTTACTGCATCACACCAAATAACTGTACATTGGAAAATTACAGTAACAGAATAAACCTGTAGTTATGATACTGGACTTGGAATATTTTTGTCCAGCTCTTGGCGCTGCTACAACATTAAGTAAGTTATTCAGTTTTTTCCTCCTCAGTCACTTATCCATAAAACAATGGAATTTTCTTTGTCTGTCTGTCCGTTCATGGCCCAGTGAGTTTGGGAAACAGATGTTCTCTTTTTGTATTTCCACAATACCTAGCACAGTAGACTTTAGAACCAAGTGCAGTCTTGCATGTTTCCCTTAAAGCAAACAACCACCGTTTAGAGCTCATTTTTATCTATATTGTGTTTTAGGATGGATTTGGGACATTTTGCAACCTTTTCCACATTGCAGGTCTACAGCAATGAGCTAATGTGGGAAAAACATGTCAGCAAAGCATGGAGAACAGACTTTAAAAATGCCTCCTACCTGCACAGGTGTCTCCAGAGTGTAGATGTGCTCCCCACGCACGTTGTAGAACTTGACAAGCGCGCTTTTCAGCAGGGAACCATTGCTGAGGTCAACCAGCTGGCTCTGCTTCTCCATGCCTGCTACTGCAAGCAGGTCTCCTTGTGTGCACCACTGTACCACCACATCTGAAATCACAAAGATGGTTTGCAGTAAACACTGGCTAGAATCAACAGGAACAGCATTTCCAGATTCTGCAGAGTGACTTGAACAGATGAAACATGCTCTCAAAAGTTACTTAAGTACTTAGAAACCTATATACTTTCATTGAAATAGTAGAAAATATGCCACAAATGGACTTTTAAGAATGACTCTTTATTCTGTAAATTGAAAAAAAAATGTGTAAAAACCATTCTTTTCATTCTATGGTGAGTTTAGAATGTAATCAGTAGTTGCTCCTAAACACCTGAGGACAAGAATTTACTAGAGATGTTGAAACTGATGTGGAAGATCCTACATAAAGCTTTGGGGTAAAGAAGTAGATTCAAGTTAACATGTAGATAAATAGTCTTACTAAGAGAGTAGCAAAGAGTGTTTGTCTGGAAAGGCCTATAATGCAAGAAAGCAGAATATCTGGCAGTGCCTCATGTTCTCATGGTTGACAATATAACTTTTAGCACAACTCAAACTAGAGTTACAACAGTATAACATGAAACTAAAAGCATTTGGACTTTTGTCCATAAATACATACGGCCTGCATGTCATATGTTTTCTTTTGCCACCATCACACAAAGATGATGAGGGCTCTAGAGAATCTCTCTTACAAGGAGAGACTGAGGGAGCTGGGCTTGTTTGGTCTAGAGCAGCCTGAAAATGGATCTCATTATTATCTGAAAGGTTTGTGCAGAGAGGACGGTGCCAGACTCTTTTCAGTGACAGGACAAGGAGCAATGGCCATAAACTAAGCACAAGAAATTCCACCTCAACATGAGAAAAAAATTATTTACACTGAGGGCAGTAGAGCACTGGAAGAGACTGCCCAGGGAGGCTGAGGAGTCTCCCTCTCTGGAGACATTCAAAACCCACCAAGACAAGTCCCTGTGTAACCTGTTCTGGAGGACCCTACCTTGGCAGAGGGGTTGGACTGGCTGATCCCCAGAGGTTACTTCCAACCCTAATGATTCTGTGAGTCTGACTTGTGAAAATCTAGGCAGCTGCTTAGCAGGGCTTTGCTGGAATCACACAGGGACTGCTCAGACTCATATACATGGATATGAATATATATATCAGTTACTTCTCTTACAGGCACCTCATGATGAGGGACACCCACAGCTTAATTTGGGGATGCTTATTTCAAACCCTTATATCCTCTAGTTCTTTGTCACACTTCTAGAGTAACTCTAAAAAAGTATTTTGCATTTCTGCACGTGTTTCAAAGGCAGATTTGCATGTTCAAGGAATACCGAGCTAGTCTTTAAATCTTTCTACTCTTAAACCAGAGGTGAAAGGCAGCTATGTTGTGCTGAGACAAAGTGAAGGCAAAGACAAAACTTTTGTGCTCTGGGATGCTCAATCTGCCAAGAACCTTTTGAAGACACTTGTGGGCGAGAAGCTGTCTCCAAATGAAGAAGCAGGAGAGAAATGAGAGTTGGCAGGAAGGATCTCAAAATTGTTTCAAGTTGTCAACTTGTCATTTGCAAGGACTTTTAGTGCAATTTAAAATGGTTTTGTATTATTTCAGCTTTCTGATATTTCTCGTGGGAATTATGCTTCTGTACATATCAGGGGGAAGCCACATGTTCCTCAAGGTAATTTTTCCACAGCTAGGCATTGTATGGCTCTTGTTTTCTCTTAGTTTTCAGCCCTCTAAGTAACCTATGATGGGATTTAATTCTTGTTTCTTGGACAGGAAAAAGATATGCAGGTTAGAAATAAACAAGGCAAGCTGATCAGCTCCACTTTTGGTAACTGGATAACTGTGGAACTACCATAATGAAAAAACTGTCTCCTTTGGATACATGTCTTCAGGTAAAACTTTCAGCTGATCCCCATTACAAGAGGAAGGAGTGTCCAGCAGTTTTCTCTCTCTCAAAGTCCTAGAATTAGACTGCTGCAAATGCAGCAAAGGGGTGGATGTGGGCTGCAGCATCCCCTCAGCGCAGTGTGGCTCTACTGACACACTTGCACTGCCAAGAGGCTCTTCAATGACTACTGGACCTTCACACAGAATAACTGATGAACAGGTTCTCAGCACTAGCACAGAGATGAGAAATCAAATGGAGGTTTCATTTAGGGTAATGGTCTACACGTGGATCAGTCACCCCTGCTTTCCAGCCACCACAGGCATGTATATCAGCCAGCCTTGAACACAGAGCACTGTAAATGTGCAACAGCCCTGCAGGCAGTAGTTGTGGCTAACTAGTACAATTAATAGATGTAGCTCAGCAGTTCTGCAGGAAACAGTGTACTGAGAATCACACAGTTAAAAAAAAAAAGGATACATCTGAACAGTTCAGGACCTCCACTAGGACTGACAAAACTACCACGACTGTTCAAGCTGGGTCAAAAGAACTTTTATTTGGATAATCAAATTATCAAGGTTTTTCCTCTGTCAATTTAACAGAAATATTATCAGTAAAATGACAACTCTGCAAAACTAGTAGAATATATATATTCTCTATATATTAAGGATATATTGCTACTGCTTGAAATAATTTCATAGTTGCCTGCTTTAAAAATACAATGAGTAGCCTACAGCAGCCAATAAAGGCAAGGATAGCTGCTGCAGAGATCACAGAGCAATACTTTGAGATTTTAAACACAAACACATGAACAAGGACTTGCAGACTGAAGACCCCACTTGGTGGTTTTGCACATTCTTGCCTGTGATAAAATCCAGTAAAATTTAGAGTCACTTGAAAAAATTATGAAGCTACAGGAAGTGTGAACATCTGTATAGAACCAGACATAAAGTACTTTCCATTGTACAGTGCTTAAAACAACAGACAGCAATATCCTAATAATCTTTCTCTGTCTCACACACATTCCCAATTCAGTAAGATGCTGCATGATTTTTGTCTAATGATAACAAAAATGTAGTCCAGCTTATAACCAATAAAAATATTCCTACCCTATCTAGCACATTAACATTTTGCTACAGCAGGGTAACATATTTAAGGGATTTTTTTTGCCCTAGTGAAAGTCAATGGGGAAGGAGAAACAGGACAGACATCCTCAGCAAGACAGAGCCCTGCAACTCTAAGCAGAGAATAAGATGGGGTCCGTTTCTGCTACTGTTTCCAGCTGAAAGCTGGACTAGATGACAACTCAAGACTGCTCAGTACCCTAATTACTCTAATATTGCAGAAATGCTGAGCAGACCCATTGGTGATTATCACAAGAGCTTCTTTAAGTTGGCTCCAGGTCTCCACACTTTTGGTATCCTTTCAGCTGATGAAGTTTTCTGGATTGTAGGGTTGTCTCACGATGCTGCGTTTTGGTGCTCACACATTTCTGGGGTTGGCACAGATGGAGAAAGGAATGGAAAAGAAACCTCAAAGGTGATGCTTTAACCTCCCAAGACTACTGTACATAACAGATCACCCAAAAACGGTGGGGACGATGTTAGGGCAACTTTTCACCAAAAACATCCCACTATTTCAGAACAGCTAAGAGTTTGCTCCAACAGCCTAATTCTCTTTTCATCTAATTTAAAACTAATTTACCTGTGGAGATGAAAAAGCTTTGGTGGAACCTATATTTAAGCATGTGCCTATGTGCTGTATTGAATTAAAATGCCTCTGCAGGCAAAGCACAGTAAATTGCACAGAGAGTACTGGCAAAGTAAAGGACATTTTTAGTAGGTAAGAACAGTAAAAATTTCAATGTGAGTTAAAGATTTTACATGGAATACTGATTGTACAAACATTCATGCACATCACTTAGCAAAATGTATAGTAATTAATCACTGGAATTTTTTCTTCTCTCAGAATAACTTACTTCTTGACAATTAATAATTCTAGCAAGTTTTCAATAATTGTGAGAACCAAAGCAGCATTGCAATTTATACCAGGTTACCAAAGCATGGAAGACACTGTGAATTAGACATGCAAACAAAGTGTTATGTAGCAGAGACATTCACACAAAGAAACACATTAGTGCATTCTGCTGGAAAACTGCAAAACAGATCAGTTGCCCTACACAACTGCCACAAAAACACAATCTCAAAAATATTGTGAAGCATTTTTTCAAACACAAAAACTCCATCAGCCAAGAACTGCTCTTCCTCCAGCAGGTGTCACTGCTGGAAACTGCAATAACAGCACCGAGGGCTCCTGGGTTAAGGAGCAAGAGGCACAAAAATGCAACCTATGCACACATCATCAAAAATACACGAAAAACAGGGCACAGGAGAGGGAGGAATGGCTTCTTTTTCATACCTTTCAACCCTGAGCGGATGATAGTAGGAGACAAATCATCGTAGTTGTTCATCAAACTGATGTCTCCTGACGTGAAGCTGACAGTAAGCAGTGGCTTGGTGTTCTGCACCGGCACTGGATAGGCAGCTGGTCCGTCTGCAAAACAAGGCTCTGAGTGAGCAGAAGGTGAACAACCAAAAATAATCACATCCAGGCCGAAACACACTGTACTTCAGCCCAGCACCATCAGGAGTTGTTCCAAGCCTCTCTACCTGCTTATTTCTGCAACATCTGTGGGAACAAGCAAAGCAGGTTTAGCTAGTTAAGCTTCTCTGTTTCTGTGAAACCTCAGTGCTTTCACTTTGTCAATTTTCACTGCATCATACCCACAGTGATTTATGTATATACTATTATGTCACATAGTGGTGTTTTTCAGTCTTCCTCCATTCTCAACTCCTCAAAGTGACAAAGAAATGGAAAACCAGTGCCTTAGAAGACTTTCTCAGAACCCCAGCTGAAAACCAGCATGATGAACATTATAATGACATTAAAAGCAATTTGTTCTATACCCTTTTTGCTTGGGCAGGTACCAAGGATTCTTCCTGAAGTCACACAGACATTTTAAGAACTTCTAAGAGAACATACTGACCTTTCACAGATTACTGCATTTTAAATGTCTAGGCAGCAGCACGAAAAGACACCTGCCATTCTGCATAACAGGATCCAAGGCACCCAAAAGTACAGGTGAGCCCAAATGGAACACTCAGCTTTAAAAACCATTTCTGCAAAGTCTCTGGTCCTCTGAGCTACTTTTGAGCAATTCACTAAAATTCTTTTGCTCATATACTTCATGACCAATATTGCCATCTGTAGCTTTTGGTGTTGAACTCCTGTTTACAGTTTCTGAGAGGAGATGCCACTGGTCCCTGATTAAGTGCCTGTAAAAGGCCCAGTCACCATCTTTCCAGTCAACAAAAATGGGAGAACCAGTTAAGAGTAGTATTGTTTTCTGAACCTGTAAAAAAGCTGATGAGAAAGCATTTTGGAGAAAGATGTCTAGTAACTGGCACCTCTGTGTGTGTATAATTTAATAAGAAAATCCCAACAAACTTCTAGTCCTTCCTACACATCTGTGTGAGTCAAAGGCTTGTCACCTTTGAGAGGTTTATGCTGCATCTGCTCTAAAGAAAACACATCATGTTTGGGTAATCATTAAAATAGGCTTGTAATGAGTCCACCCACCCCCTGCCTGACTCAGAAAAAGCTAACACACACATTTGGATCATTTAAGCTCTCATCTGCAATTTCACCATCCTCCAACTGGAACCTCAGTATTTCTGAAAAACAAAACAAAAACCCTGGAAAAATCCAATTGATTTTTGTTGTCTGTCTTGCTTTAGGAGCTTGCTAGGTTGAAATTAGTTTCTTTCCTTCTAAAGTAAGAAATCTTACCCAGTACCAGAAGTGAGGCATGAAAGCCAAAACAAAAACCAGTTTTAAAATATTCTAACATTTTACCAGGTGATCAGATCTCTTCTTTCAATATTTGTTAAATACATAACCTTATATACATAAGCTTAAATACATAAGCTTAGACACATATACTGGAAAAGGTAGATTTTTTGGTGTGAATCCAAATTAAAGTTAAAACTGCAAAAGTCCTCAATTCAGAGGTTCAGATCCAAGATGCAAATTCAGAATTATTTTTGAATAATTGTTATGTATTTAAAATTTCCACTGTACAATCACTGACTGTTATATAAACTTAGTTCTTAATGTAGTTCAGGCTTTATACATTGGAACACAGAAACAGCTCAAAAGCTTATAAAGTGATCAATCACATCAACAGGTAGTATTATCATTGCTTGAATGAGAAGGGTGGGATGGACTGTGCATGGACACCTAGGCCTCATAAGTCTTTGCTACTGATGATTTCCAAAGACTTTAAAACCAAAACATTTCACCAAACAAGTTGTATTGAGACTTAAGGAGAGGGAAGGATTTTTTCCTGACTCTCAAACTGGCAATGTGCTCTGAAGCATGTGAGTTAATAACGCCAGCCAACCCAGTCACCCTGCTTCTACCCTGTGTAATTGCAGGAAATATCTTCATTTCTGAGCCTTCTGGGGTATTTATGGAACTCTTTATGTCAGGACTATGAAGAATGGGACTGTAATGATGAGCATTACAGAAATCCTACAAAACAGAGATAAAATGAAATATATAGTACCTTACACCATGTCTAGTACTGCTGTCCTTTCACATGAATCTATGTAATAGTGCATTAATTTCTGTGGCTGCTCTCTGACTACCTCCCTATACACAAACCACTGCAATACCTCATATCTGTTTAGTATCTGCTTATCAGTGAAACCTGACTACTGTTTTTCACTCACCCTCACCGAAAACTTATCGAGCTTTGTGCTTTTATCTCATTTGTGCAAACAGAAGCAGAGCAGATGAGGTACGACCTGCAGTAAGACTGGTGGCACAGCTGGGAGCAAAGCCACTCTCCCATACCAGCTCTCTGCTCCACAACAGCTTGAAACCATGGCCACCCTGCTGGTTTGGTAGGGCATGACATCACCCTGGCACTTGAGATGTCTTCATGAGCACGAGCAAGGCTGAAGCAGAAGGGTGTGCCCAAAACCCTCCCTACCTTGTGGTGGGGAATAGTCATCAGAGTCCGTGTCGCTCTCGCTGCTGTCCTCCACCAGGAAGCTGGGGTAGTTCCAGGACATGTTGAGGATGCCATCTGACTCGTGAAGGAGCACGTGGGCCAGCATTCGCCCGTGGCAGTCCATGACAATAACCTGTCCATCAGCAGTGCCAAACAGTACCTGAAAACAACACAACAACCTCAGTCCCACCACATGTCAGCCACGGGGCATCTTGTAATTACTAGCTACCCTGGAAATTAATTGAAAGCAAAGCATTCAGGGATGTGAAAGGGTGCCATATCAAAGACAAATGTGAAGAATTAAGTTAAAGCAGCAGAGTCTACAGGTAAGTTTGTAAAATCTGTGAGCAAGTAATGTTTCATGGTAGATGCATTTCATTCACTTTAATATGAGACACTACACTTCATTTGAACTTGATCAGTACCACAATTAAAGTGAGCTGGCAGTAATGCTAAAACAGATTCTTTAGTAGTCTTAGATAATACAAAAACACGTAAAACTTGGTGGCAAAAACCAAGGTATGCATCAGTCATAACAATATTAAAAAAAAAAAGACACAGCTGACAAAAGTGAGGTCCTTACAGAGATTTCAAATGGCTCATGAGAAATAGAAAGGTGAATAGAGAAGGATAGATTATTCAGTTAATGAGCTAGAGAAAGTGGGAAAATGCTTTAAAAAAAAAAAAAAGGGAAAAAGCAGTATGATCAGGCAACTGGAAGATTACCATAGGCCAAGGGGAAGGCAATAAGGCAATGTGCTGCACATCCAGGAAGAGATGAATGAGAAGAGCTTCCACCCACCATTTCAAACACAAAATTGATAATCCAAGTTTTTTCTTGCCCTTAAACAAATCCATAGCCAATCACAGACTGAAGTCAAACTGACTGGAACCTGCAATTTCTTTCTTAATAAATTCTTCCTGAGGATTTAAGAAAGTTAAAATCCTGCATATTTGATGAATTTGAAGAGAAAAATCAGGAAATAAGGACTAATAAATCCTAAAGCAATAAATGCATTAGCCAAGGCTGTTGCTGCCATCACATAATTCCATATGAAGCAAATACATTTTAAAGCAAGTTTAAAAGCACCCATCAGCTTGAAAACTAGCCAGCATTAAAAATGAAGCTAAAAGGAAGGTCAAATCTCACACTTGCTCTTCAGTCGGCCACCTATTTCCAGTACTTGTCAATTTAAGGTTCTAACAATTATATGCCCAGGTCAGAAATTCACCTGGCCTTGGATCTCACCTTTAAGAGTGGTCAAGTGTTTGGAGAAGAGTAAAAGAACAGTATGCACTGAGCAAGCATCTCCCCTGCACACTCCTGTAGCTTTCAACAAAAAAACCCCACAATCCCTCTTCTCTGATAACTGATAATTTCATTTGGTAACCTTTAGCTCCTTACACTGGAAGAAACAAATAATCATTCCCTACTTACATTCTGAACACTGGTCACAATTTTACAGACCTCTATGATCTAATTGCCTAGTCATCTCTTTCCCAAGGTGTAGAATCACAGCCTACTTAGGATCTCCATGTACAGGTGTTGTTCAAAGCCCGCAATCACCCTCAGTGACCTCTGCTGTCAGAGGTCTTCTTTTCTATCTTCCTGCTGAGAGGCAGCGTCAGACTTGCAGCATGCAATGTGTGTATTGTATCAGACTTATTCAACAGTAGTCTCCTAGGAAGCAATTGTCATTATTGCACTTTTGAAAGTTTCAGAAAGGAAGTGTGGCTTCCTAAGCCTTAGTTAAAAAAACCCCAAAAAACAAAACAAAAAACCCCCCAAAACAAAACAAACCCACCAAAAAAAACCCACCAAAAAAACCAAAAAACCCCATCACCAAACAAAAACAAACAAACCACCAAAACCCACAAACCAAAGCAAACAAACAAAAAAAATATTAGAGTTCTTTTTATTATCAAAATAATGAACGTTGTAAACTGGAATGAGAATTTAACAGAATTCCCATAAAGTCATTAAAATCATAAGAAAAACAATGGAGTTGTTTCCCATTATCAAAAATATTGAAAAAATCAGTATCTGGCTGCCTTAACTGTAATCATTACATATTACAAATATTTTTGTGTTAAATGGTTGCTGGGTTAAAAACAGCAACTGAAGTTTGCTACAAGACTCAGAATATTATTCTTAAATGCAAAAGCAAGAACTCAACCTCTTTGTCTCACACCATGCTCCCTTGTGATCCCTTATTCTATTCTTCCTCCACTTGTATCATCACATCTTCTTTCACCCTGTTCATTTTTTTCACTGTTTTCACACGCATGATCAGTGCACAGCCACTTTCACTATTCATTTTCCAAACACAGCCACTCTCTGATCTCAACAAAACTAACTTTTACAAAGGCAAAATCCTACCAGTTGTCACTGCTAGCTTCTCACACCACTCTCAGTCTACTAGAGGTAAGTTTCTAACTAGTCTGCAAGAAGTTCCATAACTGCAAATACCCAGACAGAGGAGGTGAGCCTCTGTTGTTTCTGAAAATAGCAGTACAAGAGTCTGCCTCCTAAAACCCTGCAGAAACATTTTATAACTGGGTAGGAACAAAATCTTTGAATTCATCACACAACAGTTCATTCTCATCTCAATCTAAAGCTAATTCTTTTGAGTAGCACTGCCCCCAAATAATTTTAAATTATGAAGTCCTCAGTAATTTCCAATTCAGAACAGCTGCATGTCAGCATCTTAATTCTTGCACTGGAACTTGAGAGAGCTCTTTAGCAACAGAGAAATATCAGAGGGCACACTTCATCTCTTCAGCCAGGCTGTAGGTTTCAAGGAGCAGCTTCAAGTTTCAGGGTTATTGTAGCAATACAACCTTTAAGATGAAAGCATTTATCAGCCTGATAGTCCTGCTGGCTGAACTCCTGCTGAAGCTGTAAAAATGTCTAATGGTGTTATCATCCATAACATTACTCAGGTTATAAATGCCACACTCAAGGTACTTATGTCAGATGAGTAAAACTCTCTTGACCTTCAGACAAAAGGTTAAGCCACAGGATATCCCCAAAGGATCTAACAGAGAAATTAAGAAGTTACATTTTTAGATACTTAAATTAATTTTTTTGTGTGTCTGTTTGCAGACCTAGGAGGTCAGACAGAATATTGGAAAAAGGTAACAAGTTATAGTGGTTTGTTAACCCTTGAACACAAAAGGTAAGTGATAATAGGAATAATGTTTAAAAACCCAAGTACTTATTTTGAAGTGATTCTTTGGCCCCTTGTTCTATTCTTCTCTTGACTCATCTTCTTCTTTCATACTGCTTGTCATTACAACTGATCTTACATGTACTACCAACTGCAGAACTGCATTTGCAGAATATGGAAAATCTGATAACCAAATACCTAAAATCACCCAATACATTCTGAGTGTGAGTCAGAACCACAACATAAATACAGGATGTCTTTACACAATATCAAACATGACCAAGCCTCCAGTACAGTGAAGCTGCAGCTGATTAGAAGTCACACAAATGCAGGGCTGCTGTAGTGCCCAGATGTTGTGTGCTTTGAAGGGGAAACTGTGGTGAACAGCACTGGGAAAGCACACACAGCTTTCCAATGGTACCAAGAGATGAAAGGTGGGTTCAGTTCTGAAACACAAGTGTCTTGGTTCTCCATGAAACCCAAGCTTGGGATGAAAAACTCCCTTCTCTGGAATGCACTGACCTCTTTAGTCTATGTGCTAACTTGAGATGAGTTTCACAACTTAGTTTTGGTAAATTAATAAGTTTTTCAACTAAAGATTTTTGAACTATCATTCATGAAACTTAGCATTCAAGATTGCAACCCCCTTAAATGCTCAAGATATCAAAGACACTTCAACTAACCGTCTGAAATACACCAATTTCCAAAAGACATATGGTAAGCAAAAGATGGGGTATTTTGCTCTGAAGTATTCCTCTTGTGAAGAGATTAATATTACAACAGCCAAGAAGCTAAAAATTCAGCTCAAGAGGAACAGCTTGGATGTGAATGGTGGCTTTGCTACATAAACAGCAATACTATTGCACTGAACTCCACAGTTCCTCTAAGATCTGTTGTGATGCTGCAATGCTCTGGACCAGACACAGGACCAGCAGAAGGTGGTTTGGCAGCACCAAGATCCACAAAGCTAGAGTGGAGTGACCAAAGACCTGGTACGTTGCAGGTCCAGCTCAGGAAGCCCACTGTTTTGTAGAAGTGTAATTTTCTAACAGCAGTGCCTTTTTTGCACATGATAGATTTGCTATTTGATTTGGTTCAATGTAAGTAAATAGAACTCATCAACAATAAGAATGCTCAAGCTTTATCATAATTGGAATACATATGAGGAGTAGAAGGCAGAATTATTCCCAATCTCAGGTTTTGGTTGTACAAACTGAACAGTCGATAATGTTACAGAAAGATGTCGATAAAACAAGATGCCTCCCTTCATGACATTTAGTACTAACACTGAAGTTTCTAATGTTGCTGGTTAAACAAAACTCCCAGGAAATCCAATCAATACATTTTCAGAACAGGGACTGTCATTCTGCATCAGGGAAACAACCAAACCTTTGACTGAAGCTGAAGTTAAAGCATTAGAAGCTGGATTTGCTGTAGCTGCTGGAAGAAATATAAAGCTGTTGGAGGCTACTTTAGGGTAGCATTTTTCAAGTGAGATATTCCAGTATCGTGATGTTGGAATGCTAAAAAAGGAACAGGCGTCTGTTTTACTCCTGCTGGCTCGGGATTTTTAACAGATCCTCTCTGACTTTTTACAAAGAACAAACATCTGACAACTCACAAATGCAACAAAAACAACTCATAGACTCCATTAATTTCAACAGCATCGAAAATGAATCTAGCAAACTCCATCCTAGTACAATCTGATTGTTAAAATCCCAAGTTTTTGCATACAGACAGAACTTGCCTTGTAGGACTATGCAAGGTACATGAACAGATTGCATCTAAATTCCGGGACAAACTGAAAAATTCTGAAAATTAACGTAATCTGTCATGAAATTTAAGTGCCCTGATCTTCCCTAAGATGTGGCTTAGCTGTCAGTAACTCCATTGAGCAATTTCTCCAGTTACAGATCTTCCTTCTCCCACAGGACAGGTAGTAGCTTTTACTTTTTAACATTCTCCAGGGCTGTACTTCCAAAGTTTGAAA